GGTGCAGGCGGAGCATCCGCCACCCGCCGCCCCTGTAACCCCGCTCCCCGAAAGGGCAAGCGGCCGCCCTCGCCTGCCGGCGCTCGCTCGGCTTTGTTCGAGCACTGTCTTGTAGCTACAGAACCAGTGTAAAAACAACGCGTGCTGAAACATTAACGGGTTCGCGCGGAGCTCCGATGTGCTGTAAGCGCGGTGCTGAGTCTCACGGTAGGTGTGTAGGCACATCCTGAGCCTCTGCAGCTCTCGGCACATGATTAGAGCAGCGAGAAGCGGAGGTGCGTGTCTCTGCCACGAAGCGAGCAGGGCAGGGGAAGCCCAGCTTTGTGTTGTCACCTCCAAATCCCTTTTTCAGTCCAGAGCAGTGAACGATCACCTTCTCTTTGGAGAAGCCTATGAAACTTTAAAGAACAGTTTTTCTTTCCCTGCTTTTCCTCTCTTGGAGTAGAACCGGTTCTTAGACAACTGTGAAGAGTTAATAGAAAGATAATGTATGACTCAGCCAAGCGAGAGGGCCTTTGGTTGCCCTGAAATAGTACTTGGCAACCAGCAGAGAGGAAGGGCAGAAGAAATACTTTGAGCATATTTGTGCTGTTGGCTTTCAGTTCTAAGGCATTTCTCCGTGATGTGTAACTTTTTTTTTTTTTTTTTTTTTTTTTAAGTATAGGTAACATCCTCGTTCTGCTCTTTGTTAGATATTACTGGAAATAGGCTGAGTGGAATAAGGCATACAATAATGGTAGAGATGTCCTTTATGTAACCAAAAAGCCAGGATCTGATGGTGGAGTAAGAAGGATCTTTCAGTTACGCTGATCCTTGAATTGGAAAACAAATGCAAACCTATCTATTCCATTGACAATGGGGATAGCTTGTAATCGTAACCGTGAAAGACCTCACTGATGCTGTCATCCAAGAGATTGTATTGTCACTTCTACAGTGCTAACATGGTTCCGCTTGGTGAAACCGGTCAGTGCAAGATCTCTTGCTTGTAACTCCTTGGCTTTTATCTGTGTGTAATCTAGCTTCCCAGTCTCCAAATCTGATCCTGCAAAAAATTAGTCCTCAGCCATATGCTGGTTGCTACACAGCCCTTGGTGTTAAGCTACACTGAAAGGACAAATGTTCTTAGGTCAAGACTCGTGTTAATAATTGTATGATGTCATTCAGGTTATTTGTCCACTGCCTCCTTCAGAATTGAGGGATTTTTATTGGTTTGGTTAGACGTGTTGTTTTGGAGTCGGGGAGGAAAGAGAGTGGTGGGTTTTTTTTTGTTTTATGTTTTCCTAGTACCTCATTTGTCACTGAATAGAAATACTGTAGTCTTAAATAACAAAGCTAATGGAAAGCGTAGTGTCGTAGAGAGAAAGACAGGAAAACCAAACATGTGGGCCTGTTGTCTCTTGATACATTTAAATAGTTTAATTTCGGCATGTTTGGAAAGAAATCCGTTTCTTCTTAGAGAGATGGAGTAGTCCCAAAATAACAGGAATAATTACTACTAGTTTTAGGTCGGAAAATGCAGTTTCCCTTGCTTTGTATGCACATGGCTGTAGGAAGCTTTGATCTCTAGCCGCTTTCAAACACGTAAACTCTTACTGTTTGATAAGGACACTTACCAGTTTAGATGACAAATTGTTTGAAGGCAACATAAGAATGGAGATACAGCAGATTAAAAAATAATTCAAAATTAGTGAATTGGTCCTGAAGCTGGAAGTGTTCAAATGCAAGAGAAAGGAAAGTTAATCTTGAGTAAGAATAGTCAGCTACTGGAATGGAGAACCTAAGCCTGGCATATTGCAAATATTTAGATTTTGGTATGCTATTCAAGCATTTATATAAGCTTTGCTATAAAATGGAAGAATAAGTTGAAAAAAGAGAATGTATTGCCCCTCCCCCAGGCCTTCCTCGCCATTTCCAATCAGATCTTGTAAAATAACTTGGTGACTGGCCTACTTGTACCAATGCCCCCTTAAGTGACTTGGCTGTAGGCACACAGTGGGTTACTGATAGAGCCAGGAATAGCACCAGCAAATTCTGACTCACTGGGTGCTACTGTGATCATACTAGATATGTTTTCTCCCAGAGTCTAATACCATTTGAACAAGAATTTGACCCCTATTTTAGTAGTGGCACGATAGAAAATAACTTTATTCTTTCTAGTGCATGTGGAATAGTGCAGAAACATTTGCTTAGCTCTGGAGGGACTGTAGGGTGTGTTTGAGCTCTTGTTTCGGCAGGGACGTGCCCCTAAAACTATCCCTGTCATCCAGGCAATGAAGTAGAAATGCTCCTGTGTCCAGTACCCTTTGTTTGATGTAGGGCCTTTTGGAGAAGATGTGGGGAATGCTAGTACGATGTAATGGTTCTACAGAGTTAAGGTAATGGAGGAGGGTTGTGGGTTTTTATTTGATTTACTGAAACAGTTCTAGAAATGCTTTAATGTAGCAGTCCCACTAATCTGTCAAACAGAGATTTTTCAGGAAAGTGAAGACAAGTTGTGGCTTTGTGGACAGAATTTTGCTATCCCACTCTCTGCCCTGTTTTGCAGGGGACTCAGACTCTCTTTTCGGTTCCTGGGATGCTTTTGTGGTGATCAGTTAAATTATGAAGTACAGTTAGCTTGACATGTCCTAGCCCCAGAGGTTTCTTGAGTCAGGTTTTCATAAAAAGCAGGGTATGTGTTTTACTTAATGCTCAACTACATAAATATACATTGCTGAGGGGTCTGTGCAGAATAGCTGACATGCTGTGCATAATATCCGTGAATGCCAGAGGGAGCTAATTCTTTACCTTGCATAAGAACAAGGAGAACCTGAGCACACGAAATGGAACTATGCTTCGCTGAACCGAGAGGAGATTTCTTTGATAAAAAGATGGATAAACAGCTACCTCAGTAAGGCAAAACATTCAAAGAATTTACTTCTGTTATTTTAATAAAAAAAAAAAAGAAGGGAAACGCCCTTTTTAACGGAAGGAAAGCATTAAGCTGTTTATTTATTTACTTTATCCTTTCTGTGTCTTTCTCTCAGCTGTTCCCTTTGGCAAGCTACCATATAGCAGAACGGGAAGAAGGGACATGTTGTTTCAGTGAGCGGGCTGGGGTTTTGCTGTTGGCTTGGGAGACTGCAAGATCAGTCCTGAAGTAAGAAGACTTAAAAATAACTCTGACCCTTTTATGGACAGCATTACAGGATTTGGAGGTTTCTAAAGCACAAGTTACAGCCTTGTTGTTAATGTTACTTCGTTGTAAAATTTGTATACGTTATGTGTGTTTTGAATTCTTTTCCTTTCCTTTTTGTATGAGGCGTGGTCGTAATTGCTGAAACCTATATTCCTCCTTGTAGTCTTAAGTGGAGACTGGAAAGAACCAGAAGTGAAACGTGCATTTTTCTCGCAGACAGGTAACTGCATTGCCATGGTAACTTGGGGATTTCAGATTCCAAATACACCGTGTCTGTTGACACAAATTGGACACTGCTGCTGGAAACAGGGATACAAAGCTACATCTTGTTTTCCTGCTGCTTTGGTCCTTCTACATGCAGTGAAAGGGAACGGCTCTTCGTATGCGGTGCTCATGGTTAAATTCTCCATTTACGTTCATCTCCGTTTACTTTCGTCATCTTGCAAACACTTTTTTTTTTTTTTTCCCAAGGAAACACCAAAAATGAAATATGGTATGAAAATGCTACACAGCAGCATGGAAAGAAGTTGTGATTGTGCCAAAATACATTCGTATCTGTTAGAAATTTTGCATGGACTCAATTGTATGTGTTTTAAAAATAAAACTACTTGGTATTATTTTTTTCTACTCATGCATTTCATTCCTGGTTGTGGGTTTTTTGTTGTTGTTGTTGTTGTTTTGGGTTTTTGTTTGTTTGTTTGTTTTTGGTTTTAATCCATAGTAATATGTTGACTGTCAAAGCTGTGGCACACATGATGTTCTAAGCCTACTTAATAATTAAGTAGACATGATTTCTCAGGTGCTTTCTAATGCAGTGGGCAAGTTTGACTGGGACTACGGTTGGCACATAGCTCATAAGCAGATTCTGGGTGCCATAGCAATCATCTTTCTTAAAAGAAATTGCTTCTAGCTTTCATGTTTGTAAAGGGAAACTTGCAAGAGTATCCCAAAAATAATGAATTCAGTGGTATGCTGAAGGATATTTGTGATTTAATCTTATTTGGGTTATTCCTTCCAACAGTCCCTGGCAGAACAAGGGGCTCTCCACAGTGGAGCAAGTCTAGAAGGCTCACAGAGATCTTGGTGCACCCTGCATTTTTCCATTGCTTCTGATGTGCAAGTTTGTTCTTGGAGAGGTTTTTGTAGAGCCCTGCAGGATTCGGCACAGGGTTTTCCAGTTGTGCTTGCAGTAAAGTCTCCTTCCTTTCCTCCTTTCTCCCTTTCACTTTGACTTTCTCGCCAGTGTAAGTAGAATAATGGCAATCTTTTGGTTTTTGTTTTTTTCGTGTAAATTCTCTAGACTGCTGTCAGGTCCTTTGCCTCTGACAGCATGTTCTTCCCCCAGCCCCTTGTTCCCCAGAGTTGAACTGCAGTAGATTGACTGTGGAAGTAATTTTATAAACATATATATAATTAGCTAATACAGGGGGTGCTATAGGTGGGAACCAATATCAAGGAGATATTATAGTCCTAAATTTGAGATGAGAGTTTAGTGTGAGATTGAGGAAAGTGAAGCCTTTGTAAAATCTGATCTCTTAAGTATTGGCTTTTTAGATGGGGACAAAACTACGCTGTACTAAATGTAAATGTCATCCCTCCATTACTTCTTTCTTCCAGTGCTTCCAGAAAACTTTAAAATTTGTCGTTAACTGTATTGGTCAACTTCCGAAAGGAAAAATTAAGAGTAAGTGTGTCATTACATGGACTGCATTTTAAGTTCAGGATTGACTAGTGATGGTAAAGACTGAGATGTGTAAAGCTTTCCAGTTAAAATTCAGTGCTCTTGCTGACAAATTATGGTGAGATTGCTGTAGTAGTTAATTCTAGTTGCTAAGGCATATTCAAAATGGTTTGTGTCATCTTTTTTTCCTATGCTATGTAGCAAAGCACGTTAGACCTCTTACTTTACCTGGTTTTATTGTCATATAATCTAGTGGTCCCTCCCTGAAATTAAAATCCTGCAGTTTTACTGTGAGCAGTAGGGACTGTAAAACTAGATGGAGAAGGTTTTTGGCTTCATTCTTAAAAACTTGTGAAGTGCACAGTGTGGGAATATGAGATGTGTTGGGAGCAAACCCTTTGTCTTTGCACAGTGGTCTGCTTGCTGGCACGGGCTGAACAGGGAGGCTCTGTGAAGGTTGTGAGAAGACACGAGGCAGAGAGGGAGAAGAGCTTGCTTGATGCCAGGCAGCAGGTCTGCAGCACACAAGGAGGCTGGACACAGCATCTGAGTCTCAGTTACTGCGTCCCCTGCTCTTCTCCTGGGCCATTGTGTGTGGTGCTTAAAATCTCCAGGGTTTCTGCTTTCCCATAATGAATGCGATCAGCTTGAGAGATGGTCTTAATTGTTAGTAAATTAAAAACTGGGGAGAAAATGATTGATGTGCAGTACTTGGGAGGGTTTATAGCTCTTTGTTTTCCTGTCCCACTGTTATAGATACAGCATGCATCAGCAGCACAGGAGAGTGCTCTGACAAACTCCTGGCCAGTTTCTTAACTGCAGCCAGGCAACTAGTCTCCTTTAATTTGCTGAAGAGTCCTGTCGTGCTTATGGTTAAGGGAAGGATACCTGATGGCAATATCAAGGCTTAACTGACAAGGCAACAGAGATATGGGAGAAGTAATAAATGTATCTCACAGGCAGCATAAACAAGGGGGTAGCTTTTTTTTTTTTCCTCCCAGTCTTTATTGTTACTACAATTCTGGTTGCTGCTTATAACAACAGAATAATGGAGAAAGCTGGAAATAGAGTAGATGCTTGCAATTCCATGCATTGCTGCACTTCCTGTGGGTACCTGCAGAGTGGTTTCCTTGCTGTTCAGAAGGTGTATGTAGTCCAGTGACTACAACAAATGGCTTTATAAATAGCTTCACTCATGTTCCCTTACACTTGAGTCTGATCTGTTGCTATGTGAAGGAACACGTTGTTGGGGAGTTTCCTCAGCCAGTGTGCTTGAGGGTGGTAGGTCTGCAATGACCTCCTGGAGTTCCAGGTCTGAGGGGCAAGATGTGACGACTACATTCATTGTTTGAGTTGTTTCAGCTGCTTGGCGTGGCCTAAGCAGTCCCCAAGTACTGGTGAGGTCATCAGACACCGTGGAGGTCCTGGAGGAGGAGATCATTGTGGGGTGAGTGTGATATGAAAAGGGAGGTGAAGAGAGAAAGAAGTAGTTGGATTTGAAAAATAATAATTGGAATATGAGATGAATGTTGTGAATTTGTTGACTAGCTGGCAGCCTGATTGTGCCATGAAATCTGTCTGAATCAAGAGATTGACTCGCAAGTCAGTTTGTGTTGTTGATGCAGCAGTTTCAGCTTGTAATTTCCCTGACAGTAAAATTCCATAGTCGTCTGTCTTTTCAGCTGCCTGTCGTATTTGCTCAGCAGAAAATAAAATGTTGGAAGTTACATGTTCATGTTTAACCTGGAGCTGACAGAGGAGGAATGATGCTGTGGGGACTCTTAGTACAGGGATAGAACAGATTTTAAAAATAGGACAATAAGGGCTTCTGCAACTACGTCATGATGGTTTTGCTGCTAGAGCTGTATTAACATTTGAACATCCTTCTTTTTTTTTTTTTTCACTTAAGCTCTAACTATAGCCATTTACCTCAGTCTTTACCTCTGACCTGTACCAGTGCTTTTCACTTTTTTGCCTCTGTAGTCCTTTACAGCCAGCTGTACTCCCTCTAATCTCAGCTTACAACAGGTCACTCTACATTAGTCTTTGGGGATATAGTTCCTCCTTGAAGGATGTCTTAAGACCTGTAGTCCCTTCAAAAGCTCTGGGTCTCCTTGCTACCTGTGGATCTGGGCTTCAGTGCTGCAGTACGGAGAACAGATGCTCCTGATCCTGTGCACAAGGACTCTTCTTGCCCCAGCTGTCAGGAATGCTGCTGTGCCAGGGAAGCTTTGCTTTGCTTCTGGTTTAGCTGTAGGGGCAGCTGCATGCTGACACTTAAAATAGAGACTCTTCCATTCTTTTTAGAAAGACAGATGGTCCTCAGCCCTTGTGCTTGTGCTGCTGACAGAAGATTTTGGTCTCATCTGTTTCATCAAAGTGGTCTTGTGCTAGGTCACTGAGAAAACAGATGTTAATGCTTCCCCTCCTCTTGTGCTATTCTCTTGATCTTGTAGGATTTGGAACTTCTCCCTCTTTGCAGAGGTAAAAAAAGTAATTTTTCGCGTCTTCCTTCCTGGGTTTGGGGAGGAGACCTGCTAGCTAGAGGAAGGTGAATTTGTTACAACACTCCAGCAGATTCGTAGAGTAGTAATAGGAGCTTTGTGTTTTAAGTTACAGTAATATGTCCTGCATTTCATGCTTGGGATCTTATTCCTGTTGATGGTAATGCTGTCTTTTGGAAAAACGATAAACAAGTTGATACAAATCAGTAACTGGTTCAGTCAACATTTGTGCAGCTTTGTAAAGATTTTCTGAAAGACTCAAGTGACTTAACAGAAAGTCATGAGCAGAACTGGTTACCCTGTGTCAAAATGTCCTATGAATACTGCCAGGAGTATCAAATTACCTTGGAACGGTAGCCTCAAGCTTTCAAAAATTTGTTTTTCACTTTGTGGGTAGTTTCTTGTGCTTTCAGGTGTGCAGCCTGTTTATTTGTACACAACTGCCGCTGTGTGGCTTGCCCCAAGCTTGTAACTTGTGCTTTGCTTAGACTCTCTCTTTTCTGCAATACTAACTGTAGTTGGTCTTGGGTTCTGTTGTACCTGCTTGTTGGTTTTGTTCTGTTGACACAGTGTCTACAACAATGGGGTCCCTGCGCATGGCTGGAACTCCAGGTTTAACAGGAATAATAAGAATTGGCCGGATAGTTTTGCCCTCCGATTAACTAGAGGAGATATGGAACATCATGGTCTGAGTGCAGGTCACAGCAAACACATTTTCAAAAGTTAGTAACCCCGCAGCTGCACACCTTTGCTGTCAAAGCAGAAAGGGCAGGGAAGGACTTGGACATCCTAACCTTCTGTTTCACCTTTGGAGATGTTCTAGCCTCTATTTGAAACACACCATGAAGCAAAGGAAGTCTTAATTGCGTCTATCTTTGCTAGGAGTGGTTTCCACACGATTGTGGAGGCTAGTACTGGAAGCTTCAGGCTGGTTTCTGCCATCAACAGTTTGCTCAGTTAGTGTTAAAAATAAAAGATGGATCTGTGCCGAGTGCTGTTGAGATGGAATTAGTTTAAGAATTGTGTGCAGCGTTTCTCACAAGCCCATTAGGGGATGTTCAGAAAAAGTTGTTTTCTTGCTACAGCAATTTTGAGTTTCTGGTTTCTCTCTTTTCTTTTCTTTTTTTTTTTTTTTAACTGCAGATCAACTTGAACGTGTGTTCCTGCGTCTTGGCCATGCAGAAACAGATGAGCAGTTACAGAACATTATTTCCAAATTCCTACCCCCTGTTCTCCTCAAGTTGTCGAGTACGCAGGAAGGAGTTCGTAAAAAGGTAAGAGTGCAATTTACTGTAATAGTACGTTGTCCCGATCAGGGAGAAGGAAATGCACCTAATGTATCATGATTTACTATACTTGAATGTTCTCTGTGGAAAAATTTACTCTTTGAGGAAAAGTTGTCATGAGCATGGTAGAGAATGGGTTTATTACAACTGTTAGGTCTTAAAGAAAACAGTAATTGCTTGTATCAACAAGGTCTTTTGCACATGTGTGGCACCTGCATGTTTCCGATTGAGGCCAGCTAGCTATGAGTTAGTCTGAGACCAAGACTTAACGACCATAGAGGCAGTTGCTGTGACTTCCAGGTTAGGGCTATTGTGCAGTTAAGTCAGATGGATGCACATGTCTAGCAAACTTGCTTCCATGTGCAAAAGACCATGAAGACATACTCACTGATGTCATTTATTTGCCTGATAGAGGGATAGGAGCAAGGACCAAACCATTTTTAAGATAGAATTTGATACTTTCAGTTCCCTGATACAGAAGGCAGCTTTATCACAGATTTAATTCAGGCATATAATAAATTCCACCTCCAGGCTGTTTGGTCTTTGCCTGGTTACAGGCATAGGAGTAAGAACCAAGCAGTTTTGGAGGTGGAATTTAATATGCACCTGGGGAATTCAGTTCTCTGTATTAGGTTAGGCATAAAAGCTCATCTGCACACCCACAAAGTAGTACAGATACACAATAGCGAGTGCAGAAACCTGTGTAACACCCTGCCCCAGCTGCTCTCAGGCCCATTGTAGGAGTCATTAGCCCATCCAAAGCCCATCTCCACAGGTCAAGGGAAGCACAGAGGCCCCATGGCAGGCAGGGATCCAAGTTAAGGACTGCAAGAAAGGAGCACCCTGCCCAGGTCCCTCCCAGGAGACCCTTAGCCCCAGTGTCCAGGCATGAAACCCATCATGATGGGTCAATGCCAGAACACCTTTTGAACTAAGAGGGTGCTATGTAGGGGTAGTGGACACAGTGGGATGCAGGGGAAGAGCATTTGGGGTTGCACAAGCCTTCTAATGGGATGTTTAGTGGATGAACCAAAGGCATGGAAAGGGATGGACCTAGGCGATTCGGGGAGGAGCAAGTGTGTGTCTCTAGGGATCAAGCACACTGGCGAATGCGTGCTTCTGCTGGTTGGATGTAACTGCAGCAGCCTCCCCTCTGCTGGGCTACAGGGCCCGGCCATAGTTCCCTGACATCATGTACTGGTCGTTCCCCCTGTTCCTCCTCCTGTGGCCACACAAGGACCAAACAGTGTTGAAGACGAAATTTAGTGTGAACATGAAAGAATTCAGTGATGTAGCTACCTTCTGTAGCAGGGAGCTGAGCTCTGTTTTACTAGTAGCTTTTTTCCCCAGGCCTGTGTTCTTGCACAAGTCTTGTGCAACAGCAGCTATGGGGTTGCATGAGGGGATCACCAAACCTAGTGTTAAGGGCAGAAGAGGTCTGGCCTGGTCTGAATTCAGGCAGAGGAACACCTGCGTGTGTTTCCTTTTCCGCCAGGAGGATGTGGCTAGAGGCAAATGGGGCAGCAGCAACTGAATGTAAGAGGTTTGAGCAGCTGGATCAGAAAGCAAAGGATGAATTCTTGTCCCTGCAGCTATTAATCAGGAGCAGCTGCCTGATGACAGAGGTGGACCAGAACCTTTCTGAGCAGAATGCAGACAGACTGTTGTGAGGTGGTGGTGGAAAATTAGCTTTTTATAATCCCCTGTTGGCCTTGTAAAAGTAGGGAAATGATCATGCCTTCCTTCACTGGATTTGTGAGTAGATTTCAGAACCTGCTTGTACTAGAACACAGATTTCTCTAAAAGGTCTGCACAAAACATGGTCCTGGTAGTCATTACATTGAATTGGATCCATAGATGTGAACGCGTTCCACTGTGCTGTAGGACAGATACTCCAGCTCACATGGAGGGTTCTTCTGAGTACTTGCTTATTGTGTGCACTTGAAGCTGTAAAGAAAGGCATCCAACTAAATAGTGAAATTTCTTAACGTATTTTTAGATGATAGTTTTTCCATAAACTGAAATGTGTTGTCTGTTTTTTTGAGCGTTGTGAGATTCAGGAAAGGGGGAGGAGAACTTTTTTTTTTGTACAGTTTTTTTTTTAAATTAAATTTTAAGAAGCCTCTTAAAATCACACAACATTCTTATGGTATATTTTAGTTTTTGTGTTAGAATGAATAATGAAATAAAAGTAATTTCTTCTTTCTATGTGTTTAAAGTGTAGATTTTTAATCTGTACAAGATGATGATAATATTATAAGCAATTATAGCACTTCTCTGTATTTCTTGGTATTTGTCAAATTCATTGCAGTCAAGGAAGTTACCCTGAATTCTGCTCATGCAATATCAGTGAAGAGAAGTTGGCTCTCAGTATTCTGTTTTCATAATAACTTCAAAATGTAACAGAAGGCTCTGTATGTTTTGATTATTTTTTGTTTGGTATTTTTTACATAGCAAAATATCAGTGAGACAGAGGGGAGGGGAAGACTGTCAATTTTTTATTCTAATGAACATCAGTGAAGATTTACTGTGGAGTGTATAACCTTCAGGTAAATCTGTTCAATATGCACATTGCCTTTTTCTGTTACTTACATTAGAACTCAACTTTTCAGTCTTCTGCTCACTCGTACTTTGCTGTTAATGTGGTGGGAAAATGTCTTAAGAAGTCTGCTGCATTTTCAAATGCTAATGACTTTTAAACACAAATACCTAGCTTTGCAGTGCTAATTTTGCCTGGTGGAGAGCAAAGAATGTGCCTATTGTTCGACTACAACTACGTCTCAGAATCGTGTTAAGGCAGTGTAAGTAGAACAAAAGCATACGTTTTTTTACATGAGCACTCAGACGATTGGAAAGGTAATCTGATAAAGGCTAATAAAGTAGATGAAATAGAAAGGAAAGAGAAGGACAAACTCTTTATTCACCCAGTGACTCTCTGTAGGCAGTGACAAAACTGCCATCCCATGCCATGTCTCTACTGTAGTAGGTAAAAAAAAAAACCAAACAAACCCAATCCACCAAAAAAACCCCACAAAACCCAACAAACCACCACCACCAACAAAAAAAGCGTGCCAACATAGTTAATTGTGGTTTGAAAGCTTACCTCATTTTAATAGAATTGACAGTGTAGCATTTGATAGCATAGGTATATGAGCAAAAAGGAACATCTGTGTGTTGCCAGTATGTTGCTGAAGTATAGGTCAGTACAGTTGTTCAAGGACTTCCTTTCACCCAACTTTAGAAGTGTGGTGTAGTTCATTCAGCACACCAGATGGACTGACTACACTCTAGTTTTACTCTCACTCTCTAGACTAACTTTCTTCTCAAGCTGGTACTGCTAGAATGGTAAAAAGGAAATGAAAATTCCATTTTTCTTCCTGCTGCCTTAACATATAGAATCATAGAATGGTTAGAGTTGGAAGGGACCTCAAATATCATCTAGTTCCAACCCCCCTGCCATGGGCAGGGAAACCCTCCACTACACCAGGTTGCCCAAAGCCTCATCCAGCCTGGTCTTGAACACTTCCAGGGATGGGGCATCTACAACTTCTCTGGGCAACCTGTTCCAGTGCCTCACCACCCTCTGAGTGAAAAATTTCTTCCTTAGATCTAATCTAAATCTGTCCTCTTTCAGTTTAAATCCATTGCCCCTTGTCCTATCACTACACGCCCTTGTAAAAAGTCCCTCTCCGGCTTTCCTGTAGGCCCTCTTTAAGTACTGGAAGGGGTTGCTTTGTTGGTCTTATCCCTGCCCTTAATTTTGTGACTGTCAGGTCAGTATTACAGCTTCATTTGAACTCATTATTCTCGTACATGTTCAGATCTAGTATATAGTGTAGCTATGTGGATAAGCTTGCAATGCCTACACCTTCTTTATCCATTTACCCTAAGAAAGTAATCTCTCTTCAGGCCACGGTTTGACATATGAGTTAGATTCAACTCTAGGATGTCTTCTACCAAAGTTCAGTTACCCCAGAAGTGTCACACAAAGAACTAATCCAGGGTAAATTCACTCCACTGGTTCAGATGTGCTCCAAGAAGTGTTGATGCACTGGCAGCATTTCTGCCAGACTGGATACTGTGTCGCTTTTGCAGCCCATGTGAAGCCAGCAAAACCCTAAGAAGCAGTCATGCTGGGAAGTGCAGACATTTTCCTGATTCAGGTAGGATAAGTACTGCTGAATGAGATCCTTAATGCACTGGTTTTATATTAATGATTAGAGAAGCAGGACATTAGCTAAACCCTCACACATACCCAAATCCAGCCATGTCTTCTTATACCAGCCACCATGGGTAATCTGAACAGGTTCCTCAAACTCTGTTGTAGTCTCATGTGTGTGTCTCTCTTCCTTCACAAAAAAGTGTGTGCAGACAGTTTTTGTCCTCTCTAAAATAATAGGAGTTTCTGACTGCTGTTATAATAATTTTGTAACGGCAAAATTTGATAGCTGTCAGTGTTACTTAGTTTCTCAGCTTCTCTGGTCTCAGTCACATGCTTGTGTTCCACTATACAGTTTCTCTGGATGATATCTGGACGTTATTTTGTATGATACCTAGTCATGGAGTGGGTACAAAGATGATGTCTTGGCTCATATGCAGCTCAGCAGGTATATAATTACACAGAATCACAGAATGTTAGGGATTGGAAGGGACCTCAAAGGATCATCTAGTCCAATCTCGCTGCCGGAGCAGGACCACCTAGATCAGATCACAGAAGAACGCGTCCAGGCGGGTTTTGAACACCTCCAGAGAAGGAGACTCCACAACCTCTCTGGGCAGCCTGTTCCAGTGTTTGAAGAAGTTCTTCCTCATGTTTAAGCGGAACCTCCTATGTTCCAGTTTATTTCCATTTCCCCTTGTCCTATGATTGAATGCCAGTGAGAAGAGCCTGGCTCCATCCTCATGACAGTCACCCTTTACATATTTATAAACATTAATGAGGTCCCCCCGCAGTCTCCTCTTCTCCAGGCTAAAGAGACGCAGCTCCCTCAGCCTTTCCTCAGAAGGGAGATGCTCCGCTTCCTTATTCATCTTTGTGGCCCTGCGCTGGACTCTCTCAAGCAGTTCCTTGTCCTTCTTGAAGTGAGGGGCCCAGAACTGGACACAATATTCCAGATGCGGCCTCACCAGAGCAGAGTAGAGGGGGAGGAGAACCTCTCTCGACCTACTAACCACACTCCTTCTCATACAGCCCAGGATGCCCTTGGCCTTCTTGGCCACAAGGGCACATTGCTGGCTCATGGTCATCCTGCTGTCCACCAGGACCCCCAGGTCGCTTTCCGCTGTGCTGTTCCCCAACAGTTCAGTCCCCAACTTGTACTGGTAGATGGGGTTGTTCTTACCTAAATGCAAGACTCTACACTTGCCCTTGTTGTATTTCATTAAATTTCTCCCCGCCCAACTCTCCAGCCTGTCCAGGTCTCTCTAAATGGCAGCACAGCCTTCAGGTGTGTCAGCGACTCCTCCCAGTTTAGTGTCATCAGCAAACTTGCTGACCATGCACTCTATTCCCTCATCGAAGTCATTGATGAATATGTTGAACAGTACTGGTCCCAGTACGGACCCTCGAGGGACTCCACTGGATACAGGCCTCCAACTGGACCCTGTCCCATTGACCACTACTCTCTGGCTTCTATCCTTCAGCCAGTTCACAATCCACCTCGCTACCCGATCATTCAGACCACACTTCCTCAGTTTAGCTGTGAGGATACCGTGGGAGACTGTGTCAAATGCTTTACCGAAGTCAGGATAAACCACGTTCTGCATATGGTTCTGACCAACTTCAGTGACAGTGATTTAGTTGCCTTGTCGCTATACTGTGACCAGGGTAGTGAGTCATCAAAAGTGCCAGACAGTATCCCCACCACCCTGTCTTTTTGACTTGAATTGGTTAAAGTCAACATGCATCAAGGACCAGCTCTGTCTGGTTTTGCTGACTCCAATTTATGTCAGTTACATTATTGCACTGCCTTGCGTGAGAATCTGATAGGGTTTGTGAGCTAGATGCAAATGTTCGGTGGCTTTTCTCAAAATTCCTTGTTCCAGAGGGGAGAGTGTCTGTAGTTTTTCAAGTTCCTTCATTCAGTTATCTCATTTAAGTGGATTTACAAATGGCACTGTGCTAATGCTATGCTAAGAAGCTCCTTCATGGGATTGTAGAATCATGAGATAATTCAGCTTAGAGGGGACCTCAGAAGGTCTCCAAACCAACCTCCTCCTGCTTAAAACTTGTCTATTACAAGTTCAGAACAGGACTCTGAAGCTTTTATCGAGATGGGTCTTGAAAAACCTCTGAGGACAGAGACTGTACAAACTCTCTGGGACCCTGCTCCACGGCTTGAGAGTTCTCATCATGAGAAAGTACCGTCCTGCACCTCTCTTGTTTCAACGCACCCTGAACTCTGCTCAGCTCTCAGTCCGCCAGTGCTTGGGCCATCCCCTCGGAGCTGCTGCCCGGTCCTGTTGGCATTACTGCCGGGGCTCTGCCTGCCCAGGGCAGGGCTGCACATTGCTCCTGCCTGACGTCCACGAGACTCCTGTTGGCTTCTCCTCTTGCCTGAGTGATTTCAGATCTGTCTCGTTCCACTTCAAGCATAGTTTTTGTACGCTTATTTGATACCTTTATTATGGGTGGGGTTTTTTTCATTGCTTTTTTCTTTTGTGTCGTGTATTGCTCTACAGCTATGATATAGGGCAGCAATGCAGATTTCCAAGCCAGGCTCAGTTTTGAGGTGTAATAACCACCTGTGTAGAAAGAACTGGTCACCCTCAGTAATAATTTCTTCCTGACATTTCTTTTGATGGAGGTTATCGGTCGAGGCATGGTTTGGGACTTTTTATGTGTTTGTCTTAACAGTGACTCAAGATGTGTAAGAGTGGTTTCAAGATAATACAATAAATGATGGCTGCCGTTGTCTTAGAGATCAAACAATCAGGAGGCTCAGGCCTGATTTTTCTTATAGTAGGCCTGCCTAGTGGATTGAGAGGGTGATGTGTGGAGTCCAAAACAGTAAAATTAATGGTGGTTCTTAATAGTTTTTTGTTTTCTTCCTGTCAGGTCATGGAGCTGCTGGTTCATCTGAATAAGCGCATCAAAAGTCGTCCAAAAATTCAGCTTCCAGTAGAGACATTGCTAGTTCAATATCAAGATCCTTCTGCAGTGTCTTTTGTCACTGTAAGTGTTCTGTCCAGAAGAGTTTGCTGATTTACTTTTAACAAGCAGAATACTCTATGATAAACTTCCGTATTTAGCTCTGTCACTTTTCATAGCAAGTATGTTATTGACATGGGGTTGATATTTTAAGAGATTTTTTTAAAAAATAAGTGTCATAGTCTGATGTGGGTGAAACTTAGTTTCATAAAGCAGCTGCACTATTGATTCTGTTCGAATTACTGACAATTACTCTTGATTATTTCATGAATGTGTAAATTGTCATTGCTTGTATTGTAGAGGATCTGTTCATTGTTAGAAGCTCCATTTTGCAAGCAGCTACCAATCCTTGTCTGATACGTGCAGGATCAGGACCTTAAAACATAGTGCAGAATCAGAGCCTTACTTAAAGCATCCGTATTTCTCTGAACATGTGAGAACCTGTTAGAGTCAGGACCTTATCTGAGCAAGAAGAGATGAAAAAAACGTTATTTTATAGATACATTACTAGATGGTTTCATTCACGATAGTTTAAAACGTGAAAATACTTTAAATGAGTGTTTGTGAAACTATGAAGACAATTTTCATTTCAGCTGGGGTGGATCTGTTGCAAATCACCGTTGCGGAAAAAATGATAAAATCAGAGGGAAGCTTTCTGTCCTTATGTAACTATTCAGTCATATGTAGCATAAATGGAAAACTGTGTCGTAGAAACTGATGGAGAAACATTTAGAGTTTAAACAGCAGCAACATAGAAGTAATCTCAGATTGTCTTTAAGTGAGATTATCTAGAGTTCATCTTTTAGAAATGACTGAGGGCTTCTAGAGATCATGTGTTCTGTAGAGCAGTAAAAGAATCTGATTTGAGGACAAACTTGACATAAACTGTGCTTTTGGCTGGACATGTCAAAGATCTGTTCTCGTTCATGTGTCTGAGCAATGCACATTGTTTTGTGCCATGAGGCTTCATAAAGTTTTAACAAGTGCAGTCGATGACTTGTAATGCTTCCCACTTCAACACTTCTTTCAACCAGGTCATTTAACACATAACTCTTATCTCTACAGTTCTTGGCTGGATTTTGATCAATATGATAACAGGTAGATAGTCCAGTATTCAGCATTGTTCTGCTATGAATCCTGTATCTGGACTCTGGATTGCATTTGCAGCTTTTAATCATGATGATATAGAAACACATTTCAAGAGAAAATTTGCCCGTGCTGCTGACTTTGTATTTATTCAATATTGTTTTCTATTTTATTTCAGAAATAGGTAAGAGAAAACATTACATTTGCTTTCTTTGAAGCTGTTGCTCAGGTAAACCTGCTTTTGGTGAAATTGGCAGCAAATAAGAGAAGCTAGAGAGGATTTTTTTTCATCATTGTTTTCCTTCTTTCAAAGTGAAGGCTTAGCAAGACCTGCTCAGAAAACCCATTCTCAATAGGTTTTGCTGAGCCTTCCCCTTCAATAGCTGTCAGTCTGATGAGCCTTAGAATTAAGAAATTGGTCTTCCAAAACATACATTGTTTCCAACACCCGATTATGTAACACAACGTACAAGAAGAGTTTAATGAACAGATATTTCTTTTGCACTGTTGCAATACTGTGTGCTTTTTCTACTCCTTTAGAATTTTACCATAATTTATGTTAAGATGGGATACCCCCGTCTGCCTGTGGAAAAACAATGTGAATTGGCTCCGACTCTTCTCACTGCAATGGAGGGAAAACCTCAACCGCAGCAAGACAGGTATGCTTACTTATTCTTGGAATGAATTCTATTGTTATCATTTCAGTGAAATAATTTGTATCACTTGTTAAAAGGGTTTTTTTCTTAGTGATATCTCCGTTGCTTAGGATGTTCTTGGCTTTTACAATTTGTATCAGCAATTCAATAGTTTGTGTGCTACAAAGAACTCTACGGCCTAATGTAATAATATACAGGATCTGTAGCAACTGACTCCCTGTATGATAGGAGGCCTGTTTTATGATGGATGTGCCTTTCCATATCCCCATCCATCTTCATCAAATTCTGGTTTCCAGCTTAAGACCAGACCTTCAGTAAATACCTCTGTCCTGCAACAGGAACAGCGGTGAATGTCTCAGATTGACCACTCTAAATTGTGAGATAACCAAAATTCCTGCTCACTTGAATACTTAAGTTGTAATAAATAAAAAAAGACTGAAGTTGGGAACTGCTGTGTGCTAACAACTTCTAGAAAACTGTTAATGAACCTGCTTCCTATTTACATTGAGATGGGTTTCCACCATGCTGGCACTGGAAAATGGCACTAAAATCATACCTTTATTCACTCTACATGACTGTGACAGTGTAAGTGAATTTTTAAAATGATCTTGCTGAAAGGTCTTGTAGTAAAATTTTCCTTCCTTTCATGAAATCAGTGTGAAAATATTTGTCTTCTCTGGGACCATGGTTTTGCCCTGTCCGAAAAGCAAGCACATGAGTGAAGAAGGATTTGGGAAATCTGTTTATACTGGTATATAATTGATATATTTGTCTGTGTGCACTCTTTGGGGAAGCTGAACAGTGTTCATCAACTTCTGCTCTAGGCAGACTCAGATTTAAAACTTTAAATTTCGTATGGATGAGACAGTCCTAGACTGTATTTTGTGACTTAATTACAAAACATTAAAAGACAAAGGCAGTGAGTGACTTTATCTTTTTAGATGTGTGCGTGCATGCAGACAGACATGTATGTTCTATTTTAAGTGCAAACCCTAATTTATCTTCTGCCTTCTGTGTTTACATGGCAAATAGAGGCCACTGGATTGTGAATCAGATTAAGTTTTGTTAAGATTTTTTTTTTGCTATTAAGGACCAGGTTTGTTGTTAAAGGTTTCTCTCTTGAATGTTAACAATAAACAGGTGTGTTTTTTTTTAATGGTTGCAGTAAATATAATTGTTTTTCAGCCTAATGCATCTTCTAATACCAACCCTTTTTCACATGAAATACCCTGCGGAACCACTGAAAGCAGCAGCTTCTCCATTTAATCTTGCTGAAAAACCAAAGACTGTACAGCTGCTTTTGGACTTTATGTTGGATGTTCTTCTTATGCCTTATGGGTAAGTAAGAGTTAATACCAGTCTTCTCTAGTATTGATGTGTTCTTTGTGTGTGAAATATTACAAACTGTATGCTCCGAAACTCATTTAAAATGTGCTGTTATTTCCTAGCTCAAATGAAGCCACTTACGTGTTTCAGTAAGATAAAAAGCAGGTTCCTAATTTTAAGAATGGGATCACCATCTTCCTTATTTAACAAAATGTCTTTCTTTCTATTTAATTAGGTGTTATGCTACTCTGTCCTTGACCTCTTTTGGCATCAAGGTGAAGCTATGAGACATGTGAGCTACCTGTTAAATAACCAAACCTTTAAAATAGGAGCCAGATCAAAATGTGTACTCATCTTCCTTCAGTTGAGTTTTAAGGCTTATTCCTAGGTCATAAGCAAGCATAATCTCTGAAAACTTGAATTGAACCTTTAATAACAAGATTTGTCTTCCATCTGTCTTCTGATGAAAAATGTTTTAGCTGTAATGGTGTGTCTTGGTGTAAGCACTGTTTCTGAGAGCAAGAATGATATACAGAGCAACTTGAATTTACTGATTGCTGCTTGTTAGGCGTCTTCTAGTGTCTAAAATCAATACTTTCTCAAAATCTATTTTCCACTAACTTTTTTAGTGTCTGTGTATTGCCAGGGGAGCTTTTGCTTTGAAAGAAATTAGAAATCATTTTAACGGTAGAACACATTTCTTTTTTTTAACAGTTAATTGATTTCTGTAGGATTTTTCTGAGCACCAACTCTTGCTCACCCAACTGGATTAACCTAAAGGAATGACTTTTAAAACAGTGAGCATGTGATGTTTCTCCGTGTAGCTTTGCTGGAGGCCATGCTCCCATCAGATATTTCCAGGGCTGCCTCCTTACCATTTGAGTGTGTAGAGTCTTGCAGCTTACAGTTTGAAATGCCTAGCCGGCTCCTCTGTTCACGGCTCACACTGTTCAGTTTGACCAAATTTATGCCTTTAGCTTCACCCCCACACTGCTGTGGCTGTGGCTTCAGCAGATGAAGTCCTTAGGCTTTGCAATGAGTCTTCACTTCCTTCCATGCTTTTGTACTCTGGCCGAGCATGACAATTTCTAAATACTCAGACCACGAGGGTAAAGGCGAAGGTTTCATTTTATTTCCAGAAGGTGCTTGGAGAGAGTCTTCAGCTAGCCTGTGGCTCTGGATGTCTGCCTCTTAAAGTCTTGCTCCCTGGGGTGAGACCGTTTGCAGCTGTTTACAGCTAATTTATGCCTGGTAGAACTTGCTCTGTCATTGCCCGGTTGTGAATTAGCCTTGCCAGTCTGCATGCAGTAAAACAACCAGAAAGCTTAACTCTAGGGCTTAAACCTCATAATGAAATTCAAGTGTTTAAAGTTTTAACTAACGAGACTTGGGATGAATGTTTATCCTCATTGTTGAGACTGACTACTTCCTTTTGTTGCCTGTGTGCTGAGTGCAGAACAGATTATGTCTATCTGAAGCAAAATAATTCTGGTTGGTCTCTGCACTGCAATTTTGGTGCCTTCATGTGTTGACCAACTTCACTTCCAAGGATATAGGGAGAGGTGAAGTGGCTGTTGTGAGTACAGTGTGCACAGGGCAGCTAGATGAACCAGTCTCCAAAAAGACTAAGATCTGTAAATTTAACTTTTATGTTTTTTGCTTTCTTTCCCTGCCCATCTCTGAAACAGCCATTTTCCAAGACGTTATTTTATTTATTTATATTTTATATCAATGATTGTTTCCTGCACTTCATCATGTTGCATATGCTTCGTTATTTCCCTTTTTAGGTTTCTTTTTCATAGAAATCATACAGATGTTAAAGCTTTTAGTACAAGTTTCTCAAATGTAGTACTGTCTGAGTATTCATTCACCTCTAATACAAAAGAGATCGTTCTTTCTGGTTGGTAACCTGAGATAACTCTTTTCAGAAACACCAGTGGACCCTTCCCTTTCTGAACAGGTTTGTTTTCAAACAGTTACAATGAGATCGTTATGGCTCTTGCAGAATATGCTGGGATAACTGGTAGCTGAGTTTCAACTGAGTAAAATTCTGCCCCATGTCAGAGTCATGGAACTGGTTAAAGAAGAATATGTAAAGTTGGACAGGTTGTGTTTATTCCTCTGTTTCAGCATCTAATTCAGCTGGCAGTGTGGATTGGTACAACCTCTAATGAAACTCCCTTTCTGCCTGCTTAGGTTTGTATTGAACGAATCTCAGAGTCGACAAAGCATGCCCTCGGCCCAGGGGTCTTCATCTAGTAGCACAGGAGGTCCTGGAATCCCTCAGCCACCCCCAGGGATGAGCTTTTATGCAGCCAAAAGGGTAATTGGAGATAGCCCATGGACACCAGAGCTGCTGGAACAGGTACTTGCAGCTGCGGGACTGGTCCTCGGTGAGCTGGGGGTGATGACAGGTACAGCTACAGACAGTGGAACAGAAGGCCGAAGGGAAAATACATAACTAATTCTGATCAGGTCTTTAGTTGCCTTGAGGGAATTTACTGAGGGACTTCGCATGGTGCCTGAAGGAGCTTTGCCACAGTCATATGGGGTGGGAGGTGGCAGGAGCTCTTAGAGCTGGTTAGGAAGCAACCACGACTGCAGCCTACTCTGTCTTGCCTTTCTTTCTAAAGATAGTAAGGTTGCAAAACTCTCTTTACATTGATGAAGCGTCCCTTTTTAGCAAAGAAACAGCAGTGTCCCTTAATTGTAATGCTGATGCTTTGCCACAGGTGACTGCTTTGACAGAAGGCAAGAGGAAGGCGCTGTTAAAGAGATGGAGGGCATGTGAACTTCTCCTTAGCAAGCAGAAGCCATCATTTGAGACAGCTGAACTGCTACAGTTATTGTAACATATGCTTTCTTGTCAGTAACACTGCCTTTACTTTCCCCACCGTTGAACAGTGTAAGCTGGGGATAGTGAAATTCATTGAAGCTGAGCAAGTGCCAGAACTTGAAGCTGTTATACACCTGGTTGTAGCTTCCAGTGATACAAGACACAGTGTTGCCACTGCAGCAGACCTTGAACTGAAGAGCAAACAAAGGTACGAGTTTGGATGTTTGGGAAGGATAGTGTTAGTGTTCCTAATAAGGCTAGCTGCAATTAATGTAGTGCTCCAGAGAGACTGTGCTCTGAAAGGAGGAATGCTGCAGTCCTCCATGTACCTGCGAAGCTGCCGTGTATTCACACAGGGCTGGGAATGCTAAGGCTCACAGCCTTGCAGTTGGGAACATCACTTGGCTCTGGACCTGACAGCTTTAGCTGTCTGTTTTCATTATCTTTGATACCACTTTCAAGCCATTTTCTTACCCCTTCATTTCGAAGTTCCCAATAAGGGCTTAGTAGATGATTCATAGCTGGTCAAGTTACCTGTGTTGTCTTTCCCAGAAAGATATACTTTCATTTAATTTATTAAGGGAGTAAAGAGACTGTCATTGTGAAGTGAACGATAGTCTAGGATGTTTGGCAGCCACTGTTTCCTGCACTATTAAAGCTTTTGCTCATCTGCAGTTCACCTTTCATCATCTAAAGATAATGCTTCTGTCTTTAACCCATCAAGAAGCCAGAGTAATTGCTGTTGGTACTATTTGCTGAGTCATTGATTCTGCAAGGTTTGCTGGGTCGTACAGGAGATTTTGAGCGAGAGGCACCTGCCTTTGAAATGTGTAGGTGGCTTCTGTATTATTAGCAGTATAGGACTGTTTAACGTTGAGTCAAATGTGTAACGTGAAACCTCCATTCGAGTCCATACATGTGCCTTAGTTGTAGCAGGGGAGATGCTTCTAGTAAGTGATGAGAGCCTGGTTAAGGAAGGCAGTCTCTCCTTTGCTGCTTGTCTCATCTCTCCCTTTGTGCTGGTATTCTCTGCCTGGAGAGCAAAATACATGTGTGGACAAAATGCATGTTAATATGTAATCGTAAATGTCTTTTATGGTAAATATATGCTACCTCACAGCTCACTTGTTTGGAAATCAGTTGCTTTACTGAAAGAGATTGTTGTGTCTCATCCACTTTTCTGAAGCATGCATGCTTAACTTTTTGTTTTCTGTGAGTTGTTTTTCGGGTATACATGTGTGTCCAAACAGTCTCATCAATAGCTGGCATTAGGTGGTCATAGGCAGACCGGTTTGTCTGAGAGACCAAGATGAAATACTCCTAGAATTAAAAATAGCCTCTTTTCTATTGAAACATCAAAGCACCAAGGTCGAAGAACATGGAGAAATTTGTTAACAGATGACCGTTCTGTACTTGATCGATAGACTACCATCGTTTATATATCTTGTTTCAGTGGGAGAGAAGGGAGCATGCAGATTTCTGAAAAATTATTTGGAATTATATTGTCAGAATTTGTGGGTGAAATTTGTAATCCCTTCACATTCTTTGTGATTATATATTATGTGGGTGAGAGAGGAGTGATTAGCAGTCAAACTAATCTATTTAGATAAGTTAATCTATTAAACTCAGATCTGTTAGATCTATTAAAACTCAGAAGAATATGAATATTACGTGAAATGCTGTAAAATACATACTTTCAAAAGTAATCAAAGGTTGAAATCATAACGTTGGTATTCAATGTGGTTTTTTCTTTAGTTTAATTGACTGGAACAATCCTGCTATCATCAACAAAATGTATAAAGTGTATCTTGGGGATATACCACTGAAAACCAAGGAGGTAAGATTTCCCTTCAGAGTTGCATATCTGCTTAATTTCTGAAGCTGTGATTTTAGTTGCCTTATTTGATTTGGAGGTGACATAAATATTTCTTTACCACTTCCTTTAAACTCTGCTTTCACTGAACGTTTTTGCTATTGAATAATTTTTTTCTCTGTTCCAGTGTGTTCTCATTTGCAGTAGAAGCTAATTCAGCTAACTTAAAAGTACTACTGTCCAAAGATGCACTATACTGTTTCAACTCTGTTTCTGACAGGGATCTGTTCTGAAACCAGAAATGAAACGAGAGTCAGTCAGCACCCGTGTTAAGTTAAAGATAGTTCCTCATCTTCTGCGATCCAGGCAAGCTGCAGAAACGTTCCCAGCTAACATTCAGGTAATACTTATGTTGCAAAGCTGCTCTTCCTAATGAGCTTGATAATACGCTTCCTCCAGTACTTAGAGGAGGGAAGTGGTGTTACAGATGACAGTGTTTAAAGAAGAAGGGGGATTAGAAAACCTTTGAAAGTGAAGCCAGACACTCCCTGATCTTCTCTCTGTTCCTTTGGCCAGGTAGTTTATGATGGACTCTTTGGTGCAAACACAAATGCAAAGCTGAGAAGTCTGTCTCTGCAGTTTGTGCATCATATTTGTATCATGTAAGTATTTCAGAGTGAGCACAATGTTTTTTGACTATTTGCCTGAAAGTCACTCTGTTTACTAAATATGTAACTAAACTATGGGCAAAGAAAGAGTACTAAAACTCATAGAATAAGTAAGGTTTTTTCCTTAATCCTGAAATCTGTGTGCGGATGCTTGCACACATTAAGCTGTAATTTCTTAGCTTAACAAAGTTGAGAAAAAGTGATAGAGAATATGCTTTAGGGGATGCGAAATATAATATTTTGTTTGTTGGTGTCTCTAATTGCAGTTGTCCAGAAAGTAAAATAAAGCCGTTAGGCCCAATGCTTTTAAATGGACTTACAAAGCTGATCAATGAATACAAAGAGGTAAGCTGAAAGGTTCTTTACTATAGAACTGTAATTCTTCGTGTAAGTACAAGCAAAAGACAAATGCCTTTATGATGGAAACTGATAAATCGCTTTTTTGTAGTTGGAAACTGATAAATCGCTTTTTTGTAGTTGCCTGAGATGGCTATCAAAGGATACTTTTTAAGAAACTTTGTTGAAAGAGAAGCAAATACTTTAAAAGGCTATATAGGAAAACTATTTTATTTGTTTAACAGCTGTAGATAAGTGCTTGGACACTATTTGCAAAAGTCTTAGGAAATTAATAGTGTTGGTAGTCCAAACAGGGAGGCTGGAGTAGCATCTAGCAGCTGTTACTCATTACTCAGGAGCACACAGGAGCCTCAGCTCCAGGTGTATAGCCAGTTGTGATATGCAGCTGTATAGACCTGCTTGTAATACCTTCTGTTCTGGCTGTCCAGGGATGGTATTGCTATGTGAAGGGTGTTAGAAACAGAACTGCAAATGCCAGTGTGGCCTGAAGAGGTCTTTCCATTGCCATTTCATTAGGCAAATGTATCTTGTGAAGGGCTGATGCTGCAGACCACCTCTTCTGCAGCTTTGATCTTCTTGCTGGTTCGCTTGACCTGTTGGATGTGACCTTCTGGCCTGAGTTGGTGTTGAACTTATGAGCCTCCCCTGGGAGGGCATGAAAAAGGAGAGTTCAGGAAGAAATAAGCCCATGTATGAATACACTGCATTGGTCATCTGCAGGATCCATTGTGCACACAGCTTCCTGCATGTAAAGCTGTTGTTTAGGGCCAGTGGAAAGTTTCTGTCCCTTTGCTGCTGTTTCATACGCTTGCTGAATCTCATTAGCTGTCTCTCTTGAAATAAAATGCCATTAGCTGAGACCAGAAGGGAGATTCACGTTTTGACACCATTTGTAGTTTTCTGTTTCTTGTGGAAAACCATGCTCCCTCTATTACTATGTAATGCTTTTATTCTTGGATACATTTATTTTATATTTCAGGATTCTTTGTCCATGAAAGCCTCTTTCAGCACTTTGGAGACAGTGAATGTTTAAAGTAAATGTTTAATTATAGAAGATATGCCTTTATGTATTTCTGGTTTTGCTGAATTTTATTTATTGTTATATCATTCAAGGATTCAAAACTGCTGTCAATGGCATATTCAGCGGTTGGAAAGCTCTCCAGGTAAGTGAAGCACCATTTGATCAATGGGACATCGAAGAATTTTTCCATAGTAATCTGTTAATTTATCATCAGCAAGCTTTTGCCACCTGCCAATTTTGCAATTGAGTGTACAGTGCAGAGGAAAGCATTCTTCTTGTGACACATCCAGAGATGTAAGAAATACGTTTTTAGCTGAGAGCTTCTCTAGCAGTGATTAATGGCAGCTCATGAATTATGCACAAAATTTTAAGAAATGGTTCCGCTTTCTGGATTGCCAGAAACATAAGGAATGTGCAGCAGAGAGTGTGAAGCTGGACAAGTGATACGTTCAGTGGTATGCTGGTGATCTAACTGATCATCCGCAGAATATCTCACTTTCAAAACTGTGTTAAGGGGGGGTGTGCTGCTCTGTGGTGGCAATGGATGAGATAGAGCAAACTTTCTGTGCTGACTATTTTGTTTCGTGGGATGAGGAGAAGACCAATGAAATTTGAAGCATTTCAGTTTAAAAAAAACCAAAACAAAACCAAACCTGAAAACTTCATGGATGAAATATCTTGTTTCAGCCGAATGCCTCAGCTCTTCACCAAGGATATAGCACTGGTACAGCAGTTTTTTGAAGCTTTATGCAAGGTAAGTGCTGACAGGGCTTTGGGAAATTAATATTTTGTGCTGTTTTGCTTAATTCTTGTCACTGAACACTGTAAAGTGAAAACTCTCATTTTTGTACTGCAGGAAGATGCTGATACTAGACTTGCCATTCAGGAGGCCTTGTCTATGATGGTTGGAGCATACAGTAACTTGGAAGGAGCCCAGCGTACCCTGATGGAAGCTCTTGTGGCTTCTTATTTAATAAAGGTATTTTCAGTGAGGTCAAAATTAAGTACATTAAAAAAAGAGCTATTCATTGTTTTCCTGTTTCCTGACACTTCCTGTTGTATACTTTTGGAACAGGTCTCCCTTTTCTTACTGAATGTATTGGCCTGCCTGGGAGAAGGAGGCATGCGTATGCTCAGATGAAATATTTTTAATATCATACAGTGGCTGCAAGAAGGATGACAATGTATTTTTTCTATTTGTGTTCTGTTTTGCAAAGAAACAAAGCAGTTGCAATTGCACTGTATGTTTCTCTTAATGTTCTTCTAAGAAAACTTTGAGGAGATAACTTCAAGGACAGTATGTTGTGAAATGCTTTGTGAAAGCGAAAGTTGAATAGAAAGTATCATTCACTGCTAAGTGGGGATTTCAGTATGCTGTGTGATTTCTAACATTATAAGGCACCTGGGAACGTCGCCTGAAACTCAGCTTTGAGACACTAATCCAGAGGAAACCACACTTCACTGACTCTGTTACTTTACTGAGTATCTTGTGGTCAGAATTCCAGAGGTCTGGGTTTTCAGGAAGAGTGTTTTTTGTATATTCTGTGTTTGCATGGGTACTCAGGGTGACTGCAGAGGTATATGTATTTCTAGTGGTTGCAGTCGTAACTGTGTAAGAGGCTATTTTCACACTGATGACTCTTGCCTGGGTGCTCGAGTGATCTAGGTCTCCAGGCAATACCATTTTGAGACTATCTGAACCCAGCAGAGAGAATAAGCACCCTAAGCTAATGTTTCTTTTACATCTCTGGCTCCTAAGCGCACCTCTGTTTTGTGTGGATAGATGATATATGTCTTCATTCATTTCAAAACTGCCTGGGTGGAGCAGTTCAGATGTCTTAAGAATTAGCGACAACGCTGATTTATGGTTCCTAAAAATGTGCATATATTTTATTAAACATTTCATTTTCCACTTCTGTATATATGAGACACTAGCTTTTTGTTTCCCTGTCTCCTGCCATGTGAGGTACTAGCAAGAACAGTGTCTCAAAATGTCTAAACTCTGAGTCACATTGGTACCAGAGGACAAAAGAGATGACTGATGACTTACAAGTGGTGAGTGCAGGTCCTTAGTGTGTTCATTTGAAACCCAACCATGTATTTGTGTCTCTTCTTTTTAAGCCCGAAGTTCAAGTACGTCAAGTGGCTGTGAAATTTGCTAGCACAGTATTCCCTCCAGATCATATCCCTTCCAGATACTTACTCCTGTTAGCTGCAGGAGACCCGTAAGTTGTTTTTCTTTTTAAGTTACCTTCATATATATATAAATATACACACACACATATATATGTATTTGCATCCGGTATATATTTGGATGAAATATGAATGTGTATATATGTGTGTGTATGTATGTATGTACGTAAAAACTCACTCTTTGAAAATCAAGTATGGTAACGGGGAAATTAACCTTTCCACAGGGACATTCTTGACAGTTCTGTGAAGAACTGTTACTGTACCTTATAGTAGTCTTTGGCTTGGATTCTTTTTCCTGTTTCAGATGAACTGCTGTCACTAAAGCACTTCATGTTAGTGATCAATTGAAAAGTAAAAATTTATTAACTGAAATCACCTTTACAGTGGCTGGAATTTATTTTTTTGCTGGCAATTTCTATCAGACTATTTTTAGCTTATGTTTGCAAAGAGTCAGGAGACTTTTGAGAGTTGCCACTCGCTGCTGAGCAGTAGTTGACTTATTAAATTACAGTAATCATTTTGTTTGCCATTTTCTGTTATTGTAATTTAAGTGGTGGGTTTTTCTCCCCACTTGTTTTAATTGCTCCATTTTTATGTGCGTAGCTATTGTGTAATAAAGGAAAGCTAAACAGATAATTGCAACAAACAGCTCTGTCGTTGCAGTGTCAGCACTGTTTCAGAAGTTGATCTGCTAAGTAGATAGCGATAAACCTGGTAGGTGTCAGCTGAAGCTTCAATGTAGGGAGTGATGAGGAGGAAGAGCAGATAGGAGAACAAGGATGTGGGAACCAGGAACTCGTGGTGAACACCAGCAGGATGTGAGAGGAGCAGAAGTGGGCTCATCCAGACTGTTTTGCAGAGGCGGCTCATAGCTATCCTTTTTCTTCCCCCACTCTTAAAATAAACAAATCATTAAAAGTTCTAATGCAAACTTTTTTCCCCTTTCCTTTAAAAAAAATGCTTCTCATTTAAAAACTGTTCTCCCTCCCCCATCTTCCCAAGTTATCTTACGGCTCATTAAAGGCATTTTTTTCTGTGCAAATAATTTCTGTTTCTCATCTTTTCTTCTGAAAGGCGGGAGGAGGTACATGGAGAAGCCCAGCGGGTGCTGAGAACATTTCCTGGTAAAAATGAAAAGGAGAGTTCTGGAAAGCAGATGCCTTCCTTCCCTGAAATGGTCCACTACATTCAAGACAAGGTACAGTACTTCTGTCCCAGTAAATGACAAATACATGCCTGATGCTCAGGCATGTAATGTGTGGTCTTCCCTTCCCTGTATTCATCTGCTTCACCTCCCCTGAGGAACTGATTTAGCTAAAATCACAGTGGAGACCACACATAGTATTACATTGCCAAGATTAGTGCTTATTGTTACCTTCTGCTGGCAATAATTACAAGAGATCCAAGTGTTAAGTAACAAGGAGGCAGATCCTTTAACGAATGGATTCATTTGCATTGATGCTGTTTGTGCACAAGATGTGTGGAGTGAGGAATCCGGTGCTCAAGAGTGATAATCCAGCATGTTTCACAGACATGTTCCTGAAGGGATGCGAAGATCACTTTCTGGTTGGGCCGGTGAAAAATAATGTTGTACATAAAACAGAAGAAGGATTCCAGGCTAGGAAAGGAGATACTGGAACAAGTGAAGAAGTCTGGTTTGTTGACTTAAAACGTCTGCGTAGTGTTCGGTTGCCAGCTGGGTTAAATCGTGCCAAAGGTGTAATTATTCATATTCATTGCAATCTGTGGAAATAACGGCCATGTATATAACCTTTCAGGAGTCTAAAGGAACGATATGCCAAAACTGTACCACTGAGTTTGCCCTCACTATGTGCACTGAGAGATCGTCTGGAGAGGTGTTAAAATCTAGTCTGTGTTACACACTTCTGTGTGTAGCAGCTGTACTAGCCTTATAAGCTATGAAGATTTTGTGAAGGGTCACTGACAATGCTTTTTTTTCCTCTCGTAGTCTGCTTACTGAAAAGCTGTCAGAAGTACGTAATGTTGGAGCACATCTCGTTTTGCAAGAGATCTGTAATAGCAGAACTCTTATACATGAGAGATTTCTTGTGAAATGTTGTATAGTCTGCTACTGGTGTACTCTGATAGAGTATGAAGTATTTGAAGCTTTATGGAAAAACTTGCTTTTGTCCAAAATACTGATTATTCAAATAGATTAAAAAAACCTTACGAAACCAAGATTGAGTTTTAGATAACACTATTAAATGGCTGTTACCTTGTAGTTAATTTTTAAATTTTCTTGACTTCTGTAATGTCACTAAATAACTATGGATCAGCCTAGCTTAGTCACTACTGACTAAAACAAGATTCCCGAGCTCCTGGGTGAATTGAAAAAAAGTTTTCCTGAGCAGTTTTCAGATCTTCCTCACATGTCTTGAAGGCATATTAAAAAATCCATGAGGTACATTTCTTTTGATTAGTTATCCTGAAGTGTGAATTTTCACGTACAATGAATTATCTCCAAGTGTTGCAGATGTTTGAGAAGTTTGTGTGCATTGCTTGGCAGAGCAGGCCGAGAAGCAAAACGGTGTTCCTGCATGAGTTAGCATGATGTTGTGGTCAATGGTTCAATGTCCAAGCGGAGGCCAGTGATGAGTGGTGTTCCTCAGGGGTCACTACTGGGGCCAGTGATATTTAACATCTTTGTTGGTGATGTGGACAGTGGGATCGAGCGAACCCCCAGCAAGTTTGCAGATGATACCAAGTTGTGTGGTGTTGTGGACACGCTGGAGGGAAGGGATGCCATCCAGAGAGACCTTGACAGGCTGGAGAGGTGGGCCTGTGAGAACCTCATGAAGTTCAACAAGGCCAAGTGCAAGGTCCTGCACGTGGGTGGGGGCAATCCCAAGCACAAGTACAGGCTGGGTGGAGAATGGATTGAGAGCAGCCCTGAGGAGAAGGACTCGGGAGTGCTGGTGGATGAGCAGCTCAACATGAGCTGGCAATGTGCGCTGGCAGCCCAGAAAGCCAACCGTGTGCATCAAAAGGAGCGCGGCCAGCAGGTCAAGGGAGGTGATTCTGCCCCTCTACTCAGCTCTCGTGAGACCCCACCTGGAATACTGCATTCTGCTCTGGAGTCCCCAGCACAAGAAGGACATAGAGCTGCTGGAGCGGGTCCAGAGGAGGGCCACGAAAATGATCCGAGGGCTGGAGCACCTCTGCTATGAAGACAGGCTGAGAGAGTTGGAGCTGTTCAGCCTGGAGAAGAGAAGGCTCCAGGGTGATCTTATCGCAGCCTTCCAGTACTTAAAGGGGGCCTACAGGAAAGCTGGAGAGGGACTTTTTGCAAGGGTGTGTAGTGATAGGACAAGAGGCAATGGAGTTAAACTGAAAGAGGGCAGATTTAGATTAGGTATAAGGAAGAAATTTTTCACTCAGAGGGTGGTGAGGCACTGGAACAGGTTGCCCAGAGAAGTAGATGCCCCATCCCTGGAAGTGTTCAAGGCCAGGTTGGATGAGGCTTTGGTCAGCCTGGTGTAGTGGAGGGTTTCCCTGCCAATGCCAGGGGGGGCTGGAACTAGATGGTCTTTGAGGTCCCTTCCAACTCTAACCATTCTATGATTCTATGATCTTTCTCTCCTTCTGCAAGAAAGTATATGCGAAAGAGTAGAGCCTGATCTAGCTATGGATGGGAACCCATTCTTCAAGGGAGTCATCTTCTGGTTCACTAATTCAGGTTTTCACTGATGGTTCTGGATGTTATTGAAGTTCCAGTGCAGCGCAAGATCTGATCATGTTAAGAGGTCTGAGATCTGTTGACTTCTGTTCCATGGCTGTGTGTGTTTATTCAGATGCAAGGGTGCCTTGCTGAATCCGGCCCTGTCACTGGTGTGCATATCGCCAAGAGAGTACGGACATGCTTTTCTGCATCATTTGCAGGGGGTGTTCTTGGAAAGCTTCTGTTCGGGTGTTGTTCTACTGGAACGTTCCTGCATGTCAAGGCTAACGTTTCCATGGAAAGGAGTTGCTCGCTTGCTGCAGCAACCCTCTGCCTAGCAGGTAGCAGAGTCTTGAGAGTCTCTCTGGTCTCCCTGCTTGTGCAGTACTGAATGCCTGCCTCGCAGTGCTGGAGAAGCCTGGCTGCTCTGCAGTCTCTCCAGGCAGAGCTGCCGTCTCCAGGCTTCCTGGCTGCCTGTCAGCTGGGGCGCCTCAGGGTTTGGAAGTTTATAAAAGTATTCCGTTTCTAAATTCTAAAGCGCTTTTTTTTCCTCAGGGGAAGAATGTTGTCCTCTTCCAACCTCCCCTGCCATTCCCTCTCACGAATTCAGAGTTTCCACATCCTGAGTTGTTAGGGACGTAAAGTTAATGGACCTAAAGTGTACTATTATCAGGTGCCCTGTGCCCTCCTTGTTATACAACTGTTGTACATTTTCAGTTGCTGAGTGGAGGATAAACATAGTTGCATCAGCAAAATTTCGTTGACCTTTCCAACATCTGTGCTGTTCCTGGGTCTGAATGTTCCACTCTGTTGTTTAGGCCTCTCACCGAATGAAAACTCCAGCTAAATATATGACTGGAACTGCAGCGTTGCCTTTCAATCCTGCCACATTTGGAGAGGTAATTGACCGGATTTACATCTTCATATACGTTTACCATTGTTTATTTAGAGGGCAGTGTAAGAAGCTAACAGTTACCATAAGTCATTCTATGTTCTAAAATGCCTCTTTTAAACAGATGTTGAGATTAACTCTCCATCCTTTAACTGTATGTCCTTAAATGGCAGTCAGAACAGGATTTTCATGGGTGGCTGGGAGGGATATTCCCAAGAGGGCTGCTCCACTGCGTTCTGCAGCATGCCTAATGTAATAGCTTGTCAGAGGGAGAAATTGGCAATGCTGTGCAAAAGTCCCATTACGTGCCTTGAGGCTGTTCTTTTCATAGCAAATTCCTTGGCTTCAGTGATCTGTAGACACAAACTCAGATGTGAAGCAAGGTCTGTGTTAGCAATGTTTTGAGCTGCATTTGTGGGCGTGCCAAATTGGTATAGGTACAGGCTGAGCTGCCTGCAGGGCGTTGCATCAGCTGATGTTAAACCAAAAGTCTGTGTATGATTTAATCTTTTGAGTGATGCAGGCACTGTAAGGTTGTCTGCTTACACAGGCGTGTTGCAGAAACTGGTACAAAGATTTGTTACACTTCGTATTTGTTCTTGTCTCCATGCTGACTCTTCTATCTAGATTTGATTAAAGAAGAAACTGTTTTGCTTCGGTTACATTAAATACAGCATATTCCCCACTCTTTCATTTTGTCTTTTCCATAGTTTTCCAAGTGCTCAAACACTCAGTATCCTGTGTTTTTTTCTCTTCTCTACTTAGATAGTCCTGTATCTGCGAATGTGTCTTGCTCACAGTGCAGGTGTGGTGCCAACCTCACAGAGCTTGGCAGATATGCAAGATCATGCTCCAGCCATTGGACGTTACATAAGAAACCTCATGTCTGGCAACCACATATCTTTCTCTTCTTCCTCCTCCTCTTCAAAAAGTGCAGAAAACAACCCTGTACATATATACATTGGCCTTCTTCAGCAGCTGTTAGCTGGTGTTGGAGGTAAGAAGCTGTGTGCAGTGTCATCTTGAAGAAAAAAAATCTTCCCTCATTAGAATGAGTTGCCACGTCCAGTGCTTTGAACTTGGCTGCAGCAATCACAGAGTTGCAGCATGGACCATATACTCTTCAGTTTAAACTTCTTGTCTTCTGTGCGGCCGTGTAGGTGGGAGAAAGCAGGACAGTAAAATTACAGCATCATTTAACATAATGTTTTAAAATTGTGAGGCTGTTGTCTATGACAGCTTCCTTACCAGTGAATGCTATGTCTTCCTCACTCTGTTAATAGCAGATCTGCAACAAGTGAAGTCTTGAAGCACTTGAATGCCTTTAGAACAAATTGCTACCAGAATGTTTGCTTCTGTTAGTTTTCCTAATGTTTCTGAGAAATACTGTAGTCTATTATTTTGTATTGTTTGTTATCCCTAGTGAATTACCAGTGAATGCTTTGAAATGCCTCATACTTCTTAACCTCTGTTTATCTCTGATAGTTAGGTTGTTGTAAATACTGCACTTGTTTAATAACATGATTCTTTAATTACTGTTCAGGTTTGCCAGTCATGTATTGTCTCCTAGAAGTTGTTTCAGTGTATCCAGAAAAACTAGCCACCAGATTTGTAGACAAAATGGATTGGATAAAGGTATATTGAAAACCCTTTTTTTGCTTTGTTTTTTTGGATGGAGGGTGCTTGGCATTAGCAAAATCTGGCATTTTCCCATGGTGGAATGGAGTATCATTTCTAAGTATGCACTTAATTTCAGTTCTGGTATTTCTACTTACAGTCAACACCTCATGAGATATATGTAGCAGGATGAAGAAAATTGTATTTTTGGTTCTGTGGTGTTACTGGTTTTGTTCATTGACCTACATGTTCTGGGTGGTGCTGTTAGTCTAGTCAGTTTTTCCCCTTGATTAGAAGATCCATTAAACAGCAGCAGAAAAATGAAAACAAAATTCTGCAAATTTTTGAAGGAATTATTTAACAATGGGAATGTTCTAGTGGGAAGATGTTCTTGGCTTCCCAGAAAATGAGATTAATTAGATCCCTTATTGTCTCAGAGCCCTTTCTATGGAGGATTTTTTACTTTTTTATTAGCCTCAGTCAAAAAAAAACAGATAAGTGGGAGCCTGCCTAGGAATAAGCCAAAGAGAATTCTTCTGCAGGCAATTTTCTCAGTAATTTTCTGCTTTTTCATAATTTGCGTCAAGCATTCAGGATTTGCAAAGCTCCTACAGGTTGACTTCACTTTCATTGGGGGAAATCTGGCAGAAGAAAATGCTTGGTCGAGTTAGAGAAAAAATAGAATGTGTTCTTATAATTTCTCCTGCTGATGTATGTCGCTGCATTTCACTGTATACAGTTTACCACATCTCATTTAAGTGAAGATATGAACCTCAAAGGAGAAGACTTAAAACGTTTTTCCTTTTCAGTATTGCTTGTCAGTTGCAGAAGAAACCTTTTTTTTTTTTTTCTTTTGGCCTGGTGTCCGTTTGCAAAATTAAGCTTCTAGGGGTGGTAACTGATACTACCTAGTTCCATAAATACTGTTGTAAATATCTTTTTTGTGATTTCGTTTTGCCAAGTGGAAGGAACAGGTCCAGGGGTTTGTTAGCAGTCAGCTCTGTGATCTGATGCAAGTTTTGAGTTGAAGTTAGAGTTATGTTTCATGAGCCTGACAGATCTTGTTTCTTGTTTGTTTGCTTGACTCCTTTTCCTTTGTGACCCAAGCAATTCAAAGCTTTGGGTATGTGTTTTTCACATGAGTGTGTTGCATTATACCTCAAATTAATGACAGAGGTAAGATTGTATATTAACAAATTACCTGAGGCTTCCCAAATTCAACTTTTTAACAATTCAGATAATACAAGATCTCTAATACAAAGTGGATAAATTTACTTTGACAGCTGTGATTTCCTGGACACTTTTTTTTTCATCACCATCGGATATAACCAGTTTAACCTTCTGAGGGTTTTTTTTTTTTCCCTTTGATTAATAAAAAGGGAACAGAAGCCTCCAGTAGCTCGGGAAAAATAGTGTCTTTAAGGTATTTTTTAGCTCAGCATGGATGCAAAACGTGGAAGTTCTTTTGTGAAGACAAAATTCTGCCAAGCGTTAAATCAGCATGTTTAATGCAGAACTGGTGGGTAGCCCTCTGGTGGCAAGTGGTCATCTTCCTCGAAAACACTGAGCATATAATGAATGCCTTGCTGAATTGAGAACTTTGTGTCTTGCTAAATGATAATGCTGTCAGTTTAAAGAGAATTTTCTGAGTTAAGTACTATTTATGTAGCTGCATGACAGTTGTGTGTGTATATTGAAGCTCTGTATGAGCAGACTGTTTAAGAAGCTGCTTCCATATTTTGTATTTCTTTTTAAAAATTCCCACAGAGCCTGATGAACACAAACAAAGAAGAAATGCGTGAGCTCGCAGCCCTGTTTTATTCTGTAGTGCTGTCCACCATGTCTGGAGATGAGCTTAGGACCTCCTTGGAACAACTGATCAAGATGACAAAAGACAACCATGTAACTACTTTCCTTTGTCATCTGCTTCTTGTTTTTTCTCATGTCATGTAACTGATAGAAAATCTGAATCTCCCAGTGTGTCCAGTATGTATTAGCCTTAGTCTGAGTGTAAAATTAACTAGCTGACTTCCAGCTGGATGGTGAGGAGGGATTTTTCTTGTAGGTGAGTGCAATAGATCTTTAAATAAATTAATCCATGAAGCTGTTGTTAAGGTTAGTAGGAGGGTTTCTTGGAGGCACTTACCAAGCAAAGTCAGCACCATCACATGTTTAACTGGTTTTAGCCAGCTAAATATTCCTTGTCCCATTGAGTGGTAATGGATCACACCACATGCCTCAAACAGTTTTTACAAATTCCTTACTTGTGAGCAACTACAGGTACCCGCAGAACTACGAAAATGTTTAACTTGTTAAATGTTTTACTTCCTCTCCCCTCCTGAGCCGTAGCAGCCTCCTCGCTCCCCATCTCCTCAGGTCTTGTTCTGCCAAGCAACCTTTGCCTGGTGAGGGCTGGCTTCTTCCCTCCCACCCCACATGGACTGCTCAGCAGCCCTCCACTGCTGTATCACTACATGGTGGGTTTGCCTGCCTTCCCTCCTCCTGCAGCTCCTTCCTCCTGCCATTATCCTTATCTCTGCATTTTGCTGCTACAAGCATGGAGAATGAGTCCTGAAAGCAGATTGGACAGGTTTCTGTGCTGGTGTGTCTTGAATCCTGAAAGGGAGGGAAAGTAGTAGCATTTTTAGGTTGTATTTCCCCAACATGTTTTTATAACAGTCTCTCCGAAGGACTTAATGGGCCACCATTTTACATTGCAGGTGACAGGCTCAAACGCTGACAAGAAGTGCTGATCATAGAGTCATAGAATCATAGAATGGTTTGGGTTGGAAGGGACCTCAAAGATCATCTAGTTCCAACCCTCCTGCCATGGGCAGGGACACCCTCCACTACACCAGGTTGCTCAACACCTCATCCAACCTGGCCTTGAACACTTCTAGGGATGGGGCATCTACAACTTCTCTGGGAAACCTGTTCCAGTGCCTCACCACCCTCAGAGTGAAAAATTTCTTCCTTATACGTAATTGAAATCTCCCCTCTTTTCAGTTTAAAGCCATTGCTTTATGATCACTTTATGCCATAATTAACAAACACTAATTTGAATCTGTGAAAGCTGTGTCTGTGAGCCAAAGCCACGTCATTGCTCAGTTTTACATACGACACACCTTCTGCCGTCATGATGCCAGCACAGACGGGTCCAGCCCCCTGCCGCTGCCTTCTGCCCCAGTCACTTGTGAAGCTATGGTTGACCTTTCGCACAACATGACTGAGAGTAACTATGTGAATCATGAAACACAAAGAAGTGGGGTGTTCCCATGCATTTTTGAGTTTGAGTCAGTCAGAGCTCTGGTTTGCTGTGATGTACAGAACCTGTCGAATCAGTGCAGCCACTGGTGGTGGTGGTCTCCAGTGGCTCAGTAAGGACTGCAGTCTAAATGGATAGCTGAAGTGGAGATGAGGGAAGGACCCATCTCCAACTGGCTTTGCTTCTCTGAGACCATGACAAAGAGCGGTCCCTGGTGGCCAAGCTAGATTGAGGATCTCATCCTGGCAGCATAATTGCACTGCTGCAACTTTTTGCAGGGTTGTGATAAAATAGGTAGATGAACTAATCTGAGTTTAAGCCTCTGCTGCTTTCCTTCTTTATTTTTATTTTAATTATGGTAGCATTTAAGTTTCATAGGCTTATTTCTGCACAAAAGTCTTTTGTTAGTATTCACCAGTGGGAATGAGCACCATCGTTAGATAGTCTCAGCACCAAATCATCATTGGACAAATTAATGTTCTTGACATTTAATTGTAATAATTAGTTTTCACACTCTGTGGCCTGCTATGTAGAGGCATTGCCTTCACTGTTCGTAGGCCAAGCGTGTTTTCATTCTCAGCAGTGCAAATCTAGAGTAATTTTTTTTTTTGCTTTTTACCAGAGAGTGTATTTTGTCCCTTTAATCTGAGTACACCCAGTTTTTAAGCAGACACAGCATAATATTGTCTTAGTTCACCTTCATAAGTCTGTACTTACAGATCAGATGAGTTGGATTTTTAAAATATTTTTTTTTTGCCTGACTACCAAGGGATAGACTTTAGGAGTGAGTGTTGGCGATAAGTTCTTAGTCTGTCCTCCTAAGCCTCTTCTAACTTTTGTTAATTTATCTTAAATGATTCCATCTGTTAGAGAGTACTAGCAATACCAAACTCACAGTTGTTGCATTATGTGTTAGAACTCGTCATTCTTCAGGATGCCTTCTCATCTGGCTTGTCCATATGTGTTTTTAAATCAGTACTTTGTGCAAAGTGTAGCTTTGAAAATGAGATTTTCTGCACTGTTGATGTTGTCTGTAGAGCCCGGAGGTCCAACATGGATCCTTGTTGGCTTTGGGATTTACAGTAGGAAGGTACTTGGCCAAAGGGAAAATCAGAACAATGGAGCTACATGACATAGAACAGCCAAACACTGCAGTCATGCCGGAACAAGAACAGCTCATAAAGTCGACAACGGAGACAATAGGTAACTTCCTGCCTAAGACTTTGCTGCATGTAACAGTTGTTTTTTCAACTGCCCCAGGCTGAGAACTTTTCGAAGATATTCAGCCCATAGATACTGTAATCTTGAGTTCACTTTATGTGATAGAATTTACAGCCTGTAAAAATGTCACCTGATTAGATGCATGGACGTAACCCTTTTCAACAAGATTTAGATGGACTCAGCTCATAGACCAACATAGCACAATTATGAGTGGTGCCACTGCCTAGAATCCTCTCGGTGTCTCCTTTCACTTCGATTTTGTTCTAGCATAATGCTTCCTACGAGCTGCCTGCTGCTAAATAATAATACAAAATCCAAGTCATGCTCTTTTTCCTTTTTCTTGTAGGTTCTTTTCTGGAGAGCACCTCTCCCTTCCTCATGGTGGCTGCTTGTACAGCTCTTGGGGAGATTGGCAGGAATGGCCCCTTGCCAATCCCCAGTGAAGGAACAGGGCTTACAAAGCTACAACTTGTTGAAAACTTACTGGCCCGAATCCCTTCCAGCAAGGAAACAAATAAGGCAAGATTTTATAGTGATGTTGTGATTCTTGTTCATTTTTGGAATGCTCCATCCTCAGGTTTATGTATTTCCTGGCAAACTCACCCTCATTTTTTAAAGGAATTGGGTTTATCGTTGGCTTTAGTGAGTCAGAATTAGGCAAAGGTCTTTCAGAATTAGGCTAAGGGTTTTTTCCTTACTGTTTAGCAGTTGGGCGCTTGCGCTTTCTGTAGTCCTAAGTAGGAGCTTAAGGGATGAAAACTATAAATGGTCATAATTTTAATTCAAGAAAGTGGGAATATCTTCTTTTACCTGGAAATAATGCTTAAAGTTAACTGACGTTTATTTTGATCTGTGTTTTGGAAGAGAGGTACACTGATTAATAAGTCACCTGCATGTCTGACTTCTGGTACCTTAAGTGAAACTTCAGCAAGGGTGAAAAAGAGTGGGTTTAAAGTATGTTTTCTGGATTTACAGGAAGGTTATGTGATGATGTTGTATTTTTGTTTGTATTGAAGATGAAGGAACGAGCGATACAAACATTAGGTTACTTTCCAGTGGGAGATGAAGATTTTCCCCACCAGAAGCTCCTGCTGCAGGGTTTAATGGAGTCTGTGGAGGTGAGGCATTTCCAATGTATTTTTCTTTACGCTGCAGTGAGTATTTCTATTTGAATGCTTTTCCTATCTCTAGAGCCAAGTTTACAAAGAGAGCTATGTTTTTGTAATGGTTCCTCTGGGTTTTTTCAGACTGCCTTGGAATAGGGAGCAGAGCTAGGTTTGGGGCTTGTAAAATGTTTTATGCCACAGTTCAAAAACTCACCAGTCAAGGTCTCTGCCCCAGTCTCTGAGATGAATATTTGTTTCCCTTCAGGAGGACTGTGTATGTGTAAAATCTTAAGAGCTTACAGTAGTGAAGCCATAGGTCTGTACTTTGGCCTACCCTAAAGTAGATAATATAAATACACTGTATTTTTCCTCTGAACTACATCAGCTGATACAACTCAATTGAGTTAGAATCTTTGTTTATAGGAATCTATATATCTGTTGTCAGTCTGAATGCATCAGTGTAGTGCACTGCGTTCTTCCGCAGTACTTCAGAGCTGCTATACATATTGCAATATGCTAGACAGCAAAATTAAACAGTCAAGGAGCTCTTCGTTTACAGCTTGTTTTACCTTTCTTCCATGTTCATACCGACATAGGATTCAGCATTGTAGAAGCAGCTGTTGAGTATCAGACAGTCTGGCTTTAAGTTCTCTGATCTGATGTGATCAAACAAGCAAGAATAGTAAGAACATTGTGTACACAAACGTAAAATAATGTTTCTGAGTGCTGTGTTCATCTCCTGTAACTGCTTAGGGTTATTACAGCTTTCTTTATAAAACACGTAGTTGGAAAAAAAATAGATTGCATGAAGTTAAGAGTTTTCTTCTCAAATGCCTAAGCATTTCGTGCTTCCACAGAGTAAGGAAAGCAATCTAGAAGGTACTCATCAGGTAGGGAAAAGAGTTCTTGAAATTCATCATAAATGATGACAAAAAAGTGGCAGAGTTCTGCACATTCTGTTCCTGAGGGCTTAGAGAATAGTGGAAAGAAGACAGAGAAGCAAAGCAAATTTCTTTAGTGAATTTCTTTAATGTGAAAACCAAATTTGTGCATCTCTTAGAGATGATCAACTTCTGGGTGGAATTGTACGAGAATGTTTTACTACTGCGTACTATAACAAAGCCACAGTAATCTTCATTAATGACTGCAAGTCTTGTTCTAACTTTGTTTTATTTTCATCCTGTTTTATTTTCATCCTGTCTCTCCAGTTCTTTCTGTTCATTAAGTTGAACTTTTGCAGAGACTAGCAAATGCTTCGTAGGAGGCACGCTTCAAAAATGAAGTGTGGAAATTTTAGCTCTTTTTCGTTTTGGAGAGTTTGACATCGCCTCAGTTTCCATCAATTTCAGTGAGTCTGAGGTGCCACATAGACTCAAGTCATGGTTTAGCCCAGCCAGCAGCTAAGCAACCACACCGCCGCTCGCTCACTCCTTCCCCTCGCCGGGATGGGAGGAGAAAATCGGAAGAAACCGAGTGAAACATGTGGGTCAAGATAAGGATGATTTAATAGAACAGTGCAAAAAAAACAAGGAGAGAGTAATAACAAAGATAATATTAATAAAAAGAGAGCAGTACGAAAGGAGCAGTACCAATGCTTACCATGCCGACCGTGGAACCCCGAAGCTGGAGCCCCCGTGTAGCCTGGCCCATTAGCGATCAGTGGGGTTGCAAAAAGCCTCTCCCTTGGCCAGCTCCCTCAATTTATAGACTCGAGGCGTGACGCATATGGCATATGGTATCGAATGGCACTCTGACTAATTCTGGTCAGTTGCCCGAGCTGTGCCCCCTCTCACTTTTCCTGTGGAAGGTTAACTCTGTCCCAGCCAAACCCAGGACAACTCAGAAGCTCACTGAAAGAGTGATCTTACTGCAAATTGGTGAGATTTGCGGTTGGGAGAGAGATTGTGATTTTGTGGAAAATTGAAAAAAAGAAACTTGGCCAAAAGTTCTGGTGTATGTTTAATTAGTACTGTCAGTGAAACTCAGTTGTGTTTTTCAGGCCAAACAAATAGAACTGCAGTTCACCGTTGGCGAAGCTATTACTAGTGCTGCTGTTGGAACCAGCTCAGTGGCTGCACGTGATGTGTGGACAGTCACAGAGGAGGAATATATCCCTCCTTCAGGTAGGCCTTCCTAAAACAGGGGCTGGGTTAAGGAATGTATGATCTCCGTTCTGGACTACCACTAGGCTCCTTTAACTTTATTTCCATGGTTTTTGGTTTATAACAGTAGAAGTAAGAGACATTTTGTGTTTGTTAATGGACTGCTTGGTGTTCTGCAATGCTGGATTATATGCAAGTCATTTCATCTCTTCAAGTTCATCTGCGCAGAGGGTAGAAGACTTTACTTCATGTGCTCTTTAAATAGCTTCTTGATGAAATCTAGCTCAGTGCAGCTTGACACTGTGTTTCATTTATTTTTTTTTATTTTGGTTTGCCATGTTGTGTTGGTTTCAGGTTTAACATACACAAACCTTTTAAAATTGCATTTTGAAGCCTGCACTGGAAAATAGGGCTAGAAAATTAAATTGCAAGTCTTTTTCTAGCAACTTGGACTGATACGATTAAGTGACAGTTACATGCAGTAAATGCTGAAATTTTATTTAAAGACTAAGGTTCTGTACCCATTGAAATATAAGCATAACAAAACGCTAGATTCAAAACAGGCAGCTGTAAATACCAGCCTCAGACCTGCAAACAGGTGTTTTAATGTTGTAAGAGTGATATTAGATCTCAAGTGTACACAAAGCTGAACATGTGCGGAGTGGTAGAAACTGAACCCTGCTCCAGTAATGATGAGTCCTAACAAAAAAAAGGAGTGCATTTAATCTTACAGAGTACGAGTGATACCTCTTCTTGGCCACAGGCTCTGAAACACTTCCATGAAGGGTTAAGAGGACTCTATTCAGTGCTTCTATTAGACGACATACTCCACCAGTGACTCCAGTGAAGGCTTTTCATGAATAAGCAGAGATTAAGGTGTTACCTGAGTACTCGTGGACTGATAAGGTTTTTCATCGCCATTGCACATTATATTGAAATAAAAAGTAGGTGTGGCCGCTTCTCAAAGCTCTCCTCTCCACCTTTCTTTCTTTCATATAGATTTGAAAGTGAATGATGTGGTTCCTTGGGTCCTAGACCTTATTTTGAACAAGCACATTATCAGCCCCAACCCGCACGTTAGGCAGGCAGCTTGCATCTGGCTTCTGTCAATGGTGAAGAAGCTGAGCACACACAAAGCAATTAAGGTAAGAAATAAGCACCTTCTGAACACTGGCTCATTGTCCCTATTTTTGCTCCTCACCCCCTTTTTGTGCCTTCTTTCCCCTTCACTTCCATTGCCTTGTTTCCCCCAGTGCTACTGCAGTCCTTATTGAGGTCTTTTTGAGACATGGCTTATCTTTTGTTACTGGGGGAACATACTGTCTGACAGATGAACAAGGCTGTTTAGCACCTTTGTAAACGTCTGACTTGCACTCAAGTCAGAGTGAGCTTAGTGTAAATAGCTGTGGTAAGACGAAATTGCAGTACATCTTCCCTTGGGAAGAAGAGATTGGTGTTTGTATGGTTTTTAGGATTTACTTTTGGAAAATATTAAAAGGAGGTCTAGGAGGAGAAGAAGGGGGAGAACTAGATGGAATTAAGCATTCCCAACCAAAATGTCTCTGCATTGAGACTGTGATGGGACCATGTAACCATTTTGTGCTCTCCAGGTAATGGTAAAGCGTTTTGGGACAACAGGTGCTTTGCAGATGTGAGCTGTTACATGTAAAACCTTACTGTGTATTAATTACACTTGTCTGAAAAATGGATCTTGTGAGAGGTGGCAAAATCTCCTAGTTTGGGGATGAAGAAAAGACATCCTCGCACAGAGGATAGCCCCATCTGAGTGCAAGCCATGTTTATGACGCATTACTGCCATGTATTAGTCAAGGAAAATAAAACGTGGCTTACTAATGGTGTGGTAGCCATAAAAAGGTGCAGGACAAATAACTGTTATCTTCTGTGAATGTCAGGCAGGCTGCTTCCTACCTGTCTGGAAAGGAGTGCAGTTCTTCTTGTAAGTGTAGCTCAAATAGGCAGCTCCATGGATACAGTAGTCTCTGTTTGTCTGTTAGGAACTTGCCATGAGACCAGATGAAGAATCCAAAACCTGAGATTAAAATAATGTTCTTTTTTCTCATCTTACAGTCTCATCTTAAGGATATTCAAAGTGCATTTGTTTCAATTCTGTCAGATAGTGATGGTAAGTACTATCACATCTTAAGAGTTTTGTCTTGTGGTGGGCTTTTAACAGAATGGAGGGAATCTTTGAACAGGCAGAAAGTCGCCTACACCCTCTCTGTCAGTCAGCATTAAAAGGTGACTGTAGAAACATCCCATTTCTGACGTAATAGGAATGATTTCTTTTCTAGGCGTTGCATGTAGAGGTTAGAAGCACAGCTTTTTTTCTGCGCTTTGCTAACCAAACACAAATCTTTTTCTGCATTTGCCCCTTCACACTGCAATAAAAGAAACTGTTCAGTGATGCTACTTCTGCTCTGCTTTGGGCAGCAGGATGTGTATCACAGAGTTCTGCACGGACAGGAACTCTAAGCACTCCTTAAGCTTGCAGGTTTTGGCTTATAGCTATACCCATGGCAGCTAGTGAGGGTGAAGGGTGGCACCTGGCAGCCTATCCAAAGCTCGCTGAGGTTTGAGAGGATTACCATTAACTTTGCTGGGCTTAGGTGTCAGCAGTGTGTCAGAATACTTGCAGCTCTTGGAACTCTCTCTGCTATTTCAAAACCGCAGTGACAATATTAACATGAAGACGTAACCTAATTTCATGTGGGTTATGCCTTCAGAACAAATTGCTGCTTCAGAAGGCAAAGCTTGCGTCTTGCTAGACCAGATCTCTAAAACGGAGAGCTGTGAACAGCATGGAGCTGCGTTTGCTCGATCATTCTTTTGGTTTAATCTTGGTTTTGAAATTTATGTATTACTTAGTTACATGCTTATCTTTAATTTTACTTTGTAAAATCTCTTGCAGAACTTAGTCAAGATGTTGCTTCAAAAGGTCTTGGGCTGATATATGAACTAGGAAGTGAACAGGATCAGCAAGAGCTTGTTACCATGCTTGTTGATACCCTTATGACTGGGAAAAGGTACAGTGAACTCAGAACACAGTGAGAGAGTACTCTGAGCTATGTGTCTGATGGGAACAAAAAATATGTCTCTCTTGTGTGTGGAAAGAGATGTTTTGTGGCCAAGGGCAAGCAGATATCCATATATTGCCAGCGGGTCAAACTGGGACATTTCTTAATTCAGCTTAGAGTCTGTTGTGACTGAAGTTGTTCCAGTTTTGTTCTGTTCAACAAAGCTTCAGAATAATTATTCAGTCCTGATTCAAGCAGTTCGAATCAGTTTGGGTTTGGTTAGATTTCCTGCCTGCTGCATTGTGTAATTCTGTAATTGCAAATGACAATGACCTCTTGCAGCAACTCTGAACAATGTGAATGTTGCAGAAGTGGAGGCCTGCTTGTGCCTGAAATGTACCTTTTGCTGAGAAGGTGTTGCTTGTCAGCTTTGCTGCAAAAAACACCAATCTTACAGGACTTCTGGCTAATAATCATGTTGGTCAGTGCTGGAAATGCTCTATAACAGCCCTCTCCTGTCTGACCTACTGTGGGTGTGGCTGCTGTGAGTGACAAAAGCCTAAGTTGGGAGTGTGGAGATACACTGATGCTAAACAAGAAGAGACGAGATGAATGGAATTTGAATCTTTTCATGTTGAAGTAGAGATTTGCTGTCCGTTATATGGCTTGTGTCTGGGCAGAAGTAAAAAGCCGTCGTTCAGTGTTTTGACTTTTTACCTTCTGACTGCACAGCAAAACACTCACTTTCTGCAGTGTCTCCTTAACGTTACACATGATACAGGCTAATGAGATTCCTTGCAGTGTGTGTGGCTTTGCACACCTGTATGTTTTTTGTGGGATTGGAACTGAAAGAGCAGGAAGTTACTAACACAAAACAAATTAGCTTGTTCTGTAGAATGCAGTCCATTCAGAGGTAGAATTCAATGTAGTTAATACTGGACCTCTTTTCTGCCAGAGCCAAACACGAGATGACTGGAGAAACTGTGGTGTTTCAAGGTGGCCTGAGCAAAACCCCAGATGGGTAAGTTTACTGACAGTCTCAATGACAGACACACAGTTAGTGCTGAAACACTGTTCCCTTGCTTGTAAATCTGCTTCCTGAGCTCTTTGTTCCTTCTTGTTCTCGAAGTTATTGTGACTATATTCTTGTAGCACAGATAGGGTGTTCACTTCTCACTGTCTGCTTTAGCCTGTGATTTGACTGTAGCTTTAGCTTTACGGCATTTGTGTAGCTAAAAATAATGACGCTGATTTCCCTTCTGCTTTGCAAAGTCAAGGTCTTTCTACCTACAAGGAGCTTTGTTCACTGGCTAGTGATCTCAATCAACCAGACCTGGTGTACAAATTCATGAATCTGGCCAACCATCATGCCATGTGGAATTCTCGGAAGGTAATTTGCTACCACTTCCTCTTGCACTGTGAACTCTGGAAACAATAACTGTGTCTCTCTAGCTCTTGTCATATGGTCTATGGTCACTGCGTGCGACGACTGTTTGTTAATGCTTTAGTGTCAGGTCCAATGCAAATTTACCAGCCTGAGAAACAAATTTAGGATAACTTGAAATTCTTACAGTGAAACATTGGTATCATAGCGTTCATATCATCCTAAATTCCCCTCTGAATCAACTGTGATCCTTTCCTTTTACTTTTGAGTGTGCTTAGAGGCCAGGTCTTGATGTGTTCAAACAGTGAGATAATATTTTCAAAACTGGATGAATTTTCAGTTGCCAAAGAAGGTGGCGTTTGTTATGTAAAAAGGCGGAGCAAAAAATACTCAACAATAAGTTGCTAAAAAGCCAGTAGACAACACACCAGTTTAATCACTGTTGTTAAAAAGTATCCTTTTTTAACTCAAGTTTTGATGTTTTAAAGCTACTGGAACCTTTAGCAAAGCCAAAATACTATTGGATCCACTTCCTGAAAAAAAAAAGGCATTATAAAATTTAAGATCGAAGTGTACATTTCAGAGCTTTAACTTGGGAACTTTTTCACTGACATCACATAAGTGTGGAACAAGTTGTTTTGTCCCTGGGAGTGAGCAGAGCACCTTTTGTGCAGAAGACCCTGGTAGCTGCTGCTTCTGTATTGCCCCTTTCGTGCTCTGTCATGCTCACTATCTGAAGTTTTGAGGCTCTGGAAGCACAGCTTAGTGCAAAAAACAAGCCCCAGCATTAACGTTCACCCAGAGTTTGGCAAGTCAGCACGTCTCTCCAGGCTTCCCTCTCTTTGCACTAGGACTTCAGAAGCACAGGAGCGTAGTTAGATTCCTGACCCTTTGAAATCTCACCGGACAGGATGAGTCAAGAAAATCCACTCAGCAACTATAGGTTGAGGAAGTTGCAGAATCATTTAAGTTGAAGGCGACATCTGGAAGTCTGTGCTTCTGACCTCCACACAGGGGCTTGGCAGAGCAGCTGTTCAGGGCCTTGCAGATGACACCTCCGTTTTCCTTATACTTTCTGCAGCCTCTTGGTCCTCACAGCAGTGATCCTAACTGAGAGTTTGTCTTTATTACTCTTCCTTTTCTAGGCTAACCCAGACAGCAGGGAAGCAGTGGCCCACCCTCACCAGTTTTTCCAAGAAAGAATCTCTTTCTTGAGAACATACTCAAATCTTCATAGTTTCAATTCTCCACCACCGCTTTTGCAAATGGAGTCAGTCAGTAACTTGAAATTAAGGTTGGAGAAGGAAGTTTTGAAGTTGTGTGTTGTCTGCTGAGTGTGATTGTATGCCTGAGATCACTGTGGTACTCTGTCATTGATGGGGGCTAATTCTGGTAGCATTCGAGTCCTTTTGGTTTGGTCCAAATCTGAACTGTGTCAGTGAACTTTGCCACTGACTGTGGTGCGCTCAGGAGCAGTAACTGAGAGAGTGAGCTGATTGTTTCAACAAATACTCTTGTCATCATTTCAGGGAGCAGCTTTTGGTTTCAATGTGATAGCTGCCAAGGCTGGAGAGCAGCTGACTCCGTTTTTGCCCCAGCTTCTTCCTCGACTCTACCGTTACCAGTTTGACCCTAACCTGGGCATTCGGCAGGCAATGACCAGCATTTGGAATGCCTTGGTCACCGACAAGTCGATGGTGAGTGAGCAGCAAAATGCAGAGTGGTGGGTTTTCTGCTAGCCAGCAGCGTCTCGGAGATCCTCATGGGACAGTTGCATCTCATGAAAGGAGGGGCTATGCAGAAAGGAGTGAGGTATTGTCCTATGGAGAAAGAGGTGTTTGAATCCGTGGATGAACTGGAGGATGCGAAGAGGTTTTGCACTGCCACTTATGTGGGAAAGGGTATCTCGGCCTTGTTTGTGCAGCAGTGTTAAAGTTTATGATTTACTTTATTTAAAGTGGGGTCTTTCCATATTTCAATATTGCTTTGATACTGCTTATGAGAATCTCTCTGGGAATCTTATGGCCTAAGATGCCCTTCCTAGAGCAAAAGCATCTAAATATGGTTCTTTGTTTTTTAAGTGGGAGTAAGCCCTCGGGAAGAGGCTATTCTATCAACTCGAGGATAGCTCCTCCCAGACAAGTTTCAGGAATAAGTGATTTTTGTGAGATGCCCTTGGTCTGGCTCTGAAAGGCCTGGAATTGGGTTTGCCAGTCTTTTCAACTAGCAAAACTGATGTCCTTGTGAAGTCATTGGCTCTGATCCCTCATCAAAGTGCAACTGCTTCTCCTGTAAATACATGTTTGGTGCTAAATCTAAACAGTTCTGTTGATGAAGGACTGAGAGACTATTTTCTTGTTGTCTCTGTCACAGTGTTAAGCCCTGAAGCAATGCACAGAAAAGCGTGTCTAAAGTAAAGTCAGAGTAAGTGCGCGGAGTCAGCTCTGGCAAACGTTAGTTCATCTGCTGTGGCTGAAAGCAGGTTGCATTGTCCGTAAGGATTTTTTTTTTTTTTTCCCCACAGTAGAGGACAAGGATGCATAGTCTGTGCTTGTTTCATGATTTTTTCCTTTTTTTTAATAATAGGTTGATAAGTACATGAAGGAAATTCTTGAGGATTTGATCAGTAACCTAACCAGCAGTCTGTGGAGGATCAGGGAATCCAGGTATTGCTAGGAAAAGTAACCAATTTTTTTTCTTTGAATTCTCTTCTTTTCTCTTCTTCACCATGAACTTACTAACCTGAAGTAGTCGAGGGGGAAAAAACGATACATCCTTTCATGAGGATAGAGCTCAGTCTTGTAGTCTGCACTTGAAGTGTGATACAATCTTGAAGCTATTTGCTTCATTGAGCCTAAAGTTTTTTTATTGCCTGCAACTTTAGCATGATACCAAATAATGTTCTTGGAAGGAGAAGTATTCTGGTCACAAAGTTCTTGCCTATCCTTGGACCTGAAATTTTGCTTGATGTTAGAAAATATTGGCAGTCTGGCTGTATGTGTACTTGCCAGTTGATATAGCATTTTTAATAAGCTGCTTTTTTGTTTATAATGGTTTGTACTTATGCTGTATTGAAAACTTCCATTTTAATTTCAATTCTAGACTTCAGACCATTTTGTTTTGTTCTTATCCTATACTTACAGAAAAGAAATCTGAAGCAATTTTATTAAGTGGAATGTTTGCAATAACAATTTTCATCACAGCATCCTTTCCCACTTGCTATCACCTGTTTCTGATTTCACCTGACTGGCTGAACATTTTTTTTCTCTGTTAAAGGAGGTGTTCTTATGACAGAGCAGATTCAGGGGAAATGAGTAATGTAAAGCAATTATCAGGCTTTTTAACCATTTACTTGTATTTATAAATATATCTGTGCATACACCTATATCAAACAAGTACACCATGTGAAGGAAATAAAATACCTTGTTTGCAGCTGTCTGGCACTGAATGACTTACTAAGAGGAAGACCTTTGGATGACATTATAGACAAATTTCCAGAGATCTGGGAGATGCTCTTCAGAGTGCAAGATGACATTAAGGTAATGGAACTGATAATTGAATAGAAATCTTCAACGAAGTACAGTGATCAAGCTCTGAGATGTTTAAAGAGAGATTCTCTGAGAAGTCAAGTTGAAGCCAATGAGAGTTTTGGGTATTAAGCAGACTGAAAATTCAGGCCCCTTGCAGTTAAAATTTCCGTGCCACTTTGGAAATTCTTTGTGTATGTTTCTCATGTTTTTAAGGGTTGGTTTTCACTCCTACAGTGCTTATTCTTTATGGTTCAACATTTTTCCTGCATATAAAAGAATTCTTAAGTATTTGCATAACTCTTGAGTGTAGAAACATTTATTTTGGGCTGCTTGTGTGCTTAAATAACTTACATATATGAAGTCAGAGTCCTCGGGTCCTTCCAGGTTTGAGCTGTGTTCTCTGTGGATCCAGACTTCTCTGCTCAAGCTTAAGCAAGGCTCAGCTGTTTTCCAGAGTGTACTGTGTACTAAGAGGTTGCTTCCATAGTAGTAGATTTAGTGTGTTCAGAAATGTTCCTGGACACTGAAGCCAACTGAGCAGTTTTACCTTACTGCTAATGAGCTATGTTAGCCTCCAAAACAGAGCAACTGCCTGCAAACTGCCTTTTGGGAAGAGCCTAATTCCTGAATTTTACCTGGAAATAGTTTGGGAAGGTCTGCTTGTGGCAGGCCAGATTTTATCCAAGAAAGTCCTCAGATGTTACCAGACCAGGTGATTGTGTTTCCGTACCCAGGAGTGTTGCTAGATTCTGCTTAATTCATCAATACAAGTAAAGTTAAAGAGTCTAGTTGGTGGTGGTATCACATGCCACCAGACCTGCACAAATTTTGCTGTTTCGTTTTAGTTCATCTTCCTCTGGTCGTGGACATTCAGTTTAGTAAAGCACCACTAAGCAAAAGGCATTATATTGAGGAGGGAGTAAAGCATACCCAAAGCACTATGTACTTCTTTTTGCAGTAGAAGATTCCATTGTTTTTTTTTGGGTTTGGTTTTGGGTTTTATTGTTTGTGTGGCATTTTTTTTGTTTTGTGGGTTATTTTTTTGTGTTTTGAAAAGGACAACCAATAAAATAAAATCACTGAGACAAATGTGAACAAAAGCGCAGAGAACTTGATGGTATCAGCCAGGATCATTAATATATTTGTCATTGAGCAGACCAGATACTCAGATGGACCAAAGCCAACATTTCTTTGAAAGATACTGTGTTATTAGCCATGAATATGTTCTGGTTTTAGCTGGGGCAGAGTTAGCTCTTCTTTTTAGCAGCTAGAAGAGCTCTGTGTTTTGGTTTTACTCAGAGGCTCACTCTGAGAAGAATGCTGACAGCACACTGATGTTTGTAGTTGGCACTGAGGTCTCAAGGGCTTTTCAGCTGCCGTGTTCTTGCCAGTGTGCAGGAGCACAACAGGATAAGGGTGGAGCATGGCCGGGACAAGGGGTCCACAACTCTCCTTACGATTTGTACTTGGACTTAAGATTGAGGCCAAACTGGCCAATTAGTATTCCGTATCGTGCAGCGTCATGCCCAGTATAAAAGTGAGGGTCAGCCGGAAAGAAGGGCTTTTGCTCTTCCGGGACTCTCACTTTTGGACTCTCAGGGTGCTTTATTCTCTCTCTCGCTCTCTGTTTCGGGCCTCCCGTTCATCCGGGATTGCGGTATCGAGTTTTATCTGTTTCGGGATTGCAGCTTTGGGATGAGACGGGCCTTGGTCAAGGGTTGGTGAGCAATTACACCGTACATCACTCGTTTGTATATATTTATGCTTGTACATACATATATATATATATATATATATTGGTAGCGGTAGTAGTAAATTGTTCTTATCTCAACCCACGGGTCTCTTTTCTTTTTCCTCTTTGGTTCACTCCCTCATCCCTGGGGGTGGGGGAGTGCGCGACTGTGTAGGGTTTGGTTGCTGGAGCGGCCTATCCCACGACAGAATATATCCTTGTCAGTACTAGCATTATACTTATCAATTAGTATGAATCATTCTGTAGAAGATTTAAAAATAGTAACATGGATTATTGACTTCTTTTTTAGGAGACTGTGCGAAAGGCAGCAGAACTAGCCCTAAAAACCTTAAGCAAGGTAAAACTCTAATTTCATCATTTGCACATGGAGATCTGTATGGTTTTGATGTCAGGTAATGATTCACTATGATATCTGCAGGAGAGACCAGTTTACCATAGACTGTTGTCTTGAAAAGATCTCTAGTATAAAGGTGCAGTTGTGATGAACAGCCCCTGGAAAGCAATCATAATAAGCTTGACCACATACTTTTCTGTACTTTTGTTGATGCTGATGAAATTCCACTGCTTGAGGATAATGTGATGTTAAGTTCTATGCAACCAAAGGAGGGATATAATGAACTGGTTTTTTTTCCTCTGATGTCCTTTTTTTCCTCACCTGGGGTTGAGATTTAAGGAAACTTCTGTTCACTTCAACAGTTGACCAAGCCCAGCTGATCAAGTAGACCAAGACGAGTGGAACCTCTTGGTGTGAAACCAAGTAATCCAGTCTGGACTGCTGCTGTTACTGACATGAGATTTTTTTGGGGTTTAGTACATATACCACTTACTATTTTGTTTGGTCTTCCTCTAAAAAAGTCACATTGGTGGAAATGGAAATGGATATTAAGAGCTGTGTTTGAAATCACAACTTTCACAATGCATACAGCATGACATTTCAATGGCACAAGGATGATCTGGTTCCAAAACGTTGTTGAGATTGCAGAATCTGTTCTGATCTGGTCTCACTGCTCTGCTTCATGGTATGGTTGAATCCATGTGGTTTGTCCCTCAATTGAGAGGTTGTTTGGTCTGTCTCTTCATCGAGGTGCAGATCAAGGCCTGCTGGGCTATGAATTTGCCTTTTCTGGAAGCCGACTGTAGCTGAAACCTGTTTTGGAGATGCGGCTTAGGGCTTAAGTACTTCCTGGAGCGGAGAATGAAGGTGTAACAGAGCCTGGGTTTGGCTGTGAGCAGTTGCTCTAGTTGCTGTTGGCTTCTTCTGTCTGATGGAGGAGGTGCTTTATGTAATCTGAGCAGGAGGTTTGTACATGCATGCAGCACTCATTCTCACCTGTCCCCAGGTCTGTGTGAAAATGTGCGATCCTTCCAAAGGAGCAGCGGGTCAGAAGACGATAGCTGTGTTGCTCCCTTGCCTCCTAGACAAAGGGATAGTAAGCACAGTTGCAGAAGTCCGATCTCTCAGGTTAGTTTTTGCCTGGGGTCCCAAAGAGACCCAGCTTATTCACCTGAGTTGCAGAATGTTCTTTGGGTTTGAAGTGACAAGTTTCTCACCAAAACAGCCTTCTTGCCGAGTCCTTTTCTCACTATGATCCAACAGCAGCCCCAGAAACTCTGCCTATGCTTTGGAAGTATCTGACCTCTCTGCAAACACCCAGATTCATTTCCGAGCAGCAATTTTTCTCCCTGTAAAACTGATCTGCAAGCAGTTTGCTGTGCTTGAGACTGTCCTTCAGGACTGGCATATCTCTTCTGCTTGTAAAGACAAAAAAATTCCACTGTAGTTCTTGAAACAGCCAGGTCTTATTTCATGACTGGTTGTGAGTAATGATAGTTCACATCCCAGAGGCAACTGCAGGTGGTGACACCGTTCAGATACGTTTTATGTCATGTAACGGTTCAATGTCCCTTGATGTGTAGGGACTCCATATGCTCGTCACTTTGTAACCTTGTTTATTCCTTCATTTGCTTGGAGGAAAGAAAAGCTGGAAAATTCAGACCTGGACCGTAGCTGATCTTTGCAAAAATAATTTTCTTTTATTGAACATGATTATCCAGGAAGACTAGAAACCTCCTAACAAATTATAGTGAATATTTCTTGAATTTTTTCATCCTTTTTGAAGATACAAAAAGCCTTTGTCAAAATGCAGCCTGAGATGTGGTGAAACCAACAAGTGAGATTTGAACAGATCATTGTGATTAGATTTTTCTTGGACAGAGACAATGGACGTCTCTGAGCTGACTTTGTCCAGATCTGCTTTAAAACATGGAAGATGTGTTATTTCTTCCTGTCCGTAGTACTGCCTCTTTGCGCCGTTCCCTTTGTGATACCCTGGCCAAAGTAAGCAATCTCTGTGCAAAGCATAGCATCAGTTGGAAGCTCAGGGCTAGGGTATGATTTTGCCTAAGCAGAAAAATACACAGATTTTTGTTTGCAGGTAGATTTATATTGGGGTGTCTGAGATTTGGATTGGTACTGGATTAGAGTAGACCAGAGAGGTTTTTCAGCTAAGTCTGTGTGTTTCTCTATTGACCTTTCCTTTGATCTTTTTCCAGTATTAACACTCTTGTGAAGATCAGTAAAAGTGCTGGGTCTATGCTGAAACCTCATGCACCAAAACTTATCCCAGCCCTGCTGGAATCTTTGAGTGCACTGGAGCCTCAAGTCCTGAATTATTTGAGTCTTTCTGCAACAGAACAGGAGAAAGTAAGTGCAATTACAAGGAGAAAGTATCAACAGAACAGAAATAACAAAGATTTAAGCTCATTCAATCAACAAAAAAATAGCAGTTTTGGTTGAAAGGTGTTCAAAGATGCGAGGAGAAAGAGCTAATAAGTTACTAAAAAAGTTTGGTCATTGGAATATGGCTGGATAGATTTGTTTGGGTTTTTTTTTGAAGGGTTGGGATTTTGTTTCTGTTCCCTGGTCCACCACATATTTCAGAAAGTGAAGAACAATCTTAATAAAAACTGTTGTTAAGTGTCACTTCAGCTCCATGTACACCTGTGAAATAGGTGGAGACAGACCTGTAATAATTACCTGGAATGCACCTGTACTCTCAAACTTTGCTGCTGTTTTTCCCAGGCAATTAGCTGCAGGACTTCTTATAACATGAATTACAAGGTGTGCCATAGCACTATGGGCTGGAGGTGTATGTTGTCAGCAATGTGTCCTTTAATCTCTCTCAAAGAACCATCTTAAATCAGTAGTGTTCTGGGAAAGTGACTGAAACCCACTATTCAGAAGCAAATTTAGCTGATTTAATTGGCGGGGGGAGGGGTTCAAACTCTGCCCTTTACAAAGGAGGAAGGAGTGAACAAAAAGTGTGGGATTTTTTTCTCTTTTTTCCTCTTTTCTCTTTCTTTCTTTTTTTTTCATTCTTTTCTTTTTTCTTTTTTTTTCCCATTCCCATGATGTCAGGAGTGCATGATTGTCCTGTGCTCCAGGTAGACCATCCATCTGCCTCTGAAAGGGAGACATTCAATCTGTAAACATAGTTACTTTGTGTCTGTATGCACCTGAAATGTATTTTGGTTTGAGTTTGCGAGGTAGAGAGTTATAGCTGATGTTGCCCTTTCCACTGTTTTCATGTTGAGCTTTCATTTCGTTTTGGTTTTTTTTTTTTTTTTCTGTTTTTTCAGACTGCAATGGATAGTGCCAGACTTAGTGCTGTCAAATCATCTCCCATGATGGAAACCATTAACATGGTAAGTATTTGATCCAGAACGGCTCCAGTGTAAGGTATGTTGTAGAAGAGGAACAGGAGTCGAAGTGGGAGCTTTACAGGATACCCCTTCAGGGTTCATTTTATTATTACATCTCCCTGTGAATGTCTGTCCACCTTCTTTTTTGTGTACTGTCTTCTCTCATCCTTTTGCCACAGCTTGCTCCGCAGATCACTTGTGAATAGCCTTAGCTCTGTTTGGAGTCGGATGGATTGTCTCTCCACCTGAGGACCTGCCTAGTATCATGAAGGGAGCATCTTCCGAGTGCTTTTGTTTGGATGGGGCGCAGCTGGTTCTGAATTATGCTAGTTGCCATTTCTCTTCATCTATGGCCCACAATTCCATAATCAGCTTCTCACGTAGGCCTCCGACTGATAGTCATTGTTCTTAAGGCACAAATGCTGTCCAGCCCTTTCCTTTGTGGTGCCTTAGATGTCCCTACGTGGGCCTTGCCAGTGCTTTGATGGTGGAAATATTTAGAGAAAATGTTGATGCTGCTTAAAGCACTGTCAGCAGCTGGTGTTTGGCTCTGTAGTTTCCTGCGGCTGGAGGAAGGGTTAGCACTGCAGGGAGCTCTGCCCTCTGTAAGAGCCTGTCCCTTCCCAAAGAAAGGACCACTCTTTTCTGCTCAGGCACTGCACACAGCCAGGGGCACACAAGCAGGCAGAGAATGTGAGAGCTGAGCAAGTTTTAGGAGAAGCATGGCCACCAGAGCTATCTTTGTTTCGTGTGCTCATGGAAAAGTAACAACAGCGAGCCCTCCTGTACACAACAGCACGTGGAGCTGCGTTTTGGTGTCAGGTGGAACACTCTCTCTATAAATAGTGTGTAAAGTGGCGGGGTATGTAAGGCTCCATGTAAAAGTGTACTTGCTGCCACCCCGCAGGCTGCAGCAACTGCTGCTGTCCCTCCTCCAGGCCATGCCTCTCCTCTGCCAGCCCTGGGGGGACAGCTGTGCTGCCCTGATTAATGCTTGGGATTTCCTAGGGGAGGGGAGAGATAGTATTGCTTCGGCTGAGTAACATGAAGACGTCCTGCCTTATAAGCAAGCTTCTCTCTATTCCTATATGTTCTGGGACTGGCTGGGAGATTGTACAATATAATAGATTATTCCCTTTGCATTACCAGTGCAGGAGGTGGAAGTGACAGCAGTCTGACTTGTGAAGCTCAGAGGGTGTTACCTTCAGATAGTGTGTGATCCTTGAATTTGGTAGAGGATGGACAGTGTGCTACACAGTGCTGATAACATGAGGCTCTCTGTTTTGCCTAATGGCATTTTAGGCATAGGAGATTAGAAATTATACAAATAACATCCCTCTTATACCTTTACGTCATTCTTATGACTTATTTGTCTTGACCTGTTTAAAAACTATCTTGACTAGTTTCATTTCATTATATGATTTGGATATGTTACTGCTTCAGGGTTTCAGAGAGTTGGGGGAATGTTGGGTTTTGTCCTAAGATATGCACACCTTTGCATATGTTTCTCTCCCCGAAAGGAGTTCTTGCTAGTGTGTTACTTTCAGCTTTGTAAACAGTTGGAGTACAAGAGTACATCAGTTACAGCAAATGATAATTTTAGCAGGGTCAGCTCGGCATAGAAGCGGAACTAGAGAGTCTGTGTGTGGTGGAAGCTGCTTTATGATGCCTTTTTCCCACTATGCAGCAAACTGTCACAATTCAGCTGAAGACCAACCTGGAGAACTGAGGCAGGCCTCAGCTGGAAGCATACCTGCTTAATTCTGCCACCATTACCTTTTCTTTTTTTTTTTTCCCCGCCCCTTCATTGTCCCTTGCCTTTCTCTAGAGCTTGCAGTATTTGGATGTGTCCGTCCTGGGTGAGCTGGTTCCTCGGCTGTGTGAACTGATCAAAAGTGGAGTAGGCCTTGGCACAAAGGTATGTCTGTGATTTTAATAGTTCATTTGGAAATGGAGAAGAAAACACAGAGCATTGTCAATATGAATATGGTTCTTTTGACTGTGACAGCTTGGGCTCATTCGTACTGGAGTCATTGTACATCTGAGTCCCAATCCACCTACATTACTTGTGATTTTTCTGAATGTGTGCTGCCTTAACCTCCTCTGGGCTACGTGGTTGTTGTGCTCTGTGACACTTGAGTACAGAATGTTGTCCTTGATAGCTGTAAATCTTCCAGGACCATCTATCCCGAGCGTAAGTCCTGGTGGCTTTTTCACTTCCTAATTCAATTCTTGTAATTCATTTGTTTCAAACTGGTTTTCTCTTTCTGCCTTTGGCTCCTGGCTTATCAGGGCAGAGGCTCATGGAGGCCTAGGTCATGTCATACACGTGTGTGTGGCACCGCAGCAAGTATTGATAGCAATAACCAGGGGCTAATACTGTTTTATCTTACCTTTGTTTTCCCTTGCAATCTTCCAGGGAGGCTGTGCCAGTGTAATTGTGTCTTTAACCACACAGTGTCCTCAGGACTTAACACCTTATTCAGGTAAGGTTAGTTTCTTATGTCAGGTTTTAAAGGTGCATTTTGTTGCTGTTCTGTAGGTAGAGTTTCCTCCCTATTGGCCCTTGATTTTATCACAAGAATTATCTTTATGTGTGTATTTTCAGTAGAGAGCTGCTTGAAGTTGGCTTGTACGTGTGGCACTGGCATGCTGGGGGTGGGTCCTGGGGATGTTAATACCTCACCAAGTTGGAAAAGGCAGAGGAAGGAGCTCAGGGAATTCGCTAGTACTAAGCAGGAACAGGCGGAAATATCTCTAGACTTCCTTGGAGCAGACTAATAATGCCTGCGTTAGTGCAGCACTGTCAATAAGCACTTGTTCCTTCAACTTGAGCTATGGAAGGACCATAAACAGGGACTTTTTCCTTGGGTTCTAGTCTTCTTTTTACCATTTATTGTGATTTGATGGTAGAAAGAAGGTCGCCTTTCTGTTGCAGAATAGAAATAAGGCTGAAACTGTGAACAGCTGGAGTGCTCACATACAGGAACATTATCAGTCAAGTTGTGCAGGCTGAGGCTGGCAGAACTCTAGCTTCTGCTGAGCCTTGCTGTGTTAACGCTGAGCACTTGTTTAAACATAAGGACCAGACAGACGTATAACCCTGCAGACATGCGATGAGGAAAAATGCATAAATTCAGACAATCTGATGAAATTCAGGCTGTTTTAATTCTTCCCACAGCAATAAAAATATGATACTTCTGATAAAATGAAATCTCTTCAACAGGCAAACTTATGAGTGCTTTACTTAGTGGCCTGACTGATCGCAACAGTGTGGTACAGAAGTCTTTTGCCTTTGCTATGGGGCATCTAGTCCGGGTGAGTTGGGGTTTAAGATGGTTTTAGGTTTTATTTTGCTTTTTTGTTGTTGAGTATTTTGAAGTGTTTGAGTGATTCGAGTCTCTTCCCTGTTACAGACTTCCCGGGACAGTAGCACTGAGAAGCTGCTACACAAACTCAGCAGTTGGTACATGGAGAAGGAAGGTACGTTGCTTTTTGGGTATTCAGTTACAGAATAGAGTGCAGAAGAAGTTCCTGGTGATAGCAAAAGCTAGTAAAGAAACGTTTTTATATTCTGGTGCTTGGTTTCACTGGCTGAATAATTCCCATGCATCATTATAGTATAATGTGCATTCCTCTGCTTTCCAAGAGGCAGACCAAGCTGGTAAAGGAAAATCCTGCTTCCTACTCATAACGTGTGATTGTTTTGCTCCTTCAGAGCCAGTTTACAGAACAGGCTGTGCTTTAACTGTGCATGCTATGGGACGCTACAGTCCAGACGTGGTGAAGAACCATGCTAAACATGTGCTGCCATTGGCTTTTCTTGGTATGCATGAGGTTCCTGATGAAGAGAAAGGAGAGAAAGAGAATTCTACTCTGTGGACTGAAGTTTGGCAGGAAAATGTACCTGGTAAGTTGCATTAAGAGTGGTAAAAGCTTTCTGGGAAGTATGGGGCAAGAAATATCATGCTTCCTGGAAATCCATTTTGGATACGCAGAATTCTCCTGGTAAGGGATTTGGGAAGCTTGTTTCCATTTTCTTCCTTGCTCTGTATGAGTTTTGGCACGTGAACTTCTCTGTGGCTATTTAAAATACTTACAGAGGTGTTGATGCTGAGGATACACAGACACAGTCAGGACAAGTATTTTAAGGTTGTAAGGCACTGAATGCCACTGTAATATGGCCCTGATCGTGGCACAGACAGCTGGACATCTTTGGAAATTTTGATGCCAGCCTTGAAGGGCTGCTGCACGCTTTGAAGTTAAGGAGAACTTGGCCTCTGTCTTAGGTTGGAGATCTCTCTGGTGATTCCTCTGGTTTTAACTTCAATGAATGAATCTGCGCTGTAGGACTATTTTGCTGTGTTTTCTGTCTGTAGAGGAAGATCTGGATGCATGGTGAAATGGTTTTGCTGATTCCTTCTCTGATCTGATTCCTGATCTGGTCCTTCAGTCACCAGGTTACTTTTCTGGAGTCTGGGAAAGGAACTGCAAAAAGATTTTCCAGTGACCTGTTCTTGCAAAAAAAATTAAGTTATTGTCCTTAGAAACAGGCTAATACAATGTCTATTATCTGCCATATGAAAGGACTGAGATGAGCTCTTTATCTAGATATATGCCAAACATCTTCTTTGAAAGCACTTAGAAAACAGCCTATCTTCAATCAGCCTGGGAGGAATTCTTCACCTCTTTGCCTGAAGGAGATCTTACTGATATGTTTCATGGCCAAAAAAAAGAAAGATAAATCTGTGACTACCTCCCCCTCCCAATAAAATCAGATTTTTTGTTTGTTTTGTGGCAAAATTACAGTCTTCCTCTGTTTGATGCGCAGGTACTCAGGGTGGTATCAGACTGTATATGCAGGAGTTGATAACTCTTACCCAGAAGGCTCTGCAGTCCCAGTCCTGGAAGATGAAAGCCCAGGGAGCCGCTGCCATGGCATCAATTGCCAAACAGACAGGCTTCCTTGTACCACCGCATCTGGGAATAGTGCTGTCCGCGCTGCTGCAAGGCCTGCCAGGGAGAACCTGGACTGGGAAGGTAAAAAAAGGAACTGGCACCTCATGGATCTCTGTGAGCACCAGCATGTGGCCAGGAAATGCAATGTTCTGTGCTGCAGAGCAACACATGTAGGAACTCTGGCTTAGGAAGCCGGATTCTATCTGCATTCAGCAGAAGATACGTAGGTGGAGTTCAATTAGCTTTAGGAGTTGGATTCCCACTTAGCCTGCTTCCACTGCACCATGTTCTAGCTGTGAGGGATACTAGCTTGTGCTCAGAGGCCCTGCAAGGCCTCTTTCCACTGCCAGTTCAGTGCAGATGGAAAGCCAAGTCTTCTACAGCCTCTACATCAGAAGTGCCGGGAGCCAGACATTGCTTTTCTCAGCGGGTGTGGTAGGCATATTTCCTCACTGCCTCTCACAGCAAAGTATGCAGGTTTCCCCTGTGTGGCAGGACTGTGCCATTTCTTAGTGGTATCTGTTTGACTCATTGCAGGAGGAGCTGTTGAAGGCCATTGCCAGTGTCGTCTCTGCATGCAAGTAAGTGTCTTGACAGAAGTGGTATTCTTAGAATCTGGGATCTCAAAAAGAAGGTTATTGCACAGTGTTGTTGCCTGTCTGGTGCTAAGGAGACTCTAGAAAGTTGTGGATGCCGTCCTGATCTCCCATCGGCATGTCAAGAGTCTCCCTCCGCTCTGCTTGCCAATGTGTGAGTCACTGGTGAGAGCTGGAAGAGGCAAGCAATGCTTCAGAGGGACCTGCAGGGGTAAATGGTTGGTTTAGGGCAAAGAGGAGGATGCTGAGAGGCCAGAATTGCTAAGAAGAAGGGACTAAGGGGAAAGATGGACACCTTAAAAGGGAAAAGAGAGGAAGAGGTAGAAGAGTGAGGCGGGTGGGAAGTGCATTGGAAGCAAATGAGGAAAGACAGGAAAGAAAAACAGAACAGACAGGGTAAGAGCAAAGAAGAGCACCAGAGTGTAACTTCAGTTACAACTGTTGGTAGGCAAGCGTGTTCCAGGACGCAGGGATTACTTCCTTTCTGTGGGAAAAGCGGTGTTTAGGAAGGGATTAATGTGGGTCTGATAGTTTTCTACATGCCTTGTGTTTCAGTGCAGAGCTGCAAAAGTCAGTACCTGGCCAGCCCACCGTCAATGATGTTGTCCAGGCTATCCTGAAAGAATGTCGGAAAGAGAACCTGAAGTATAAGATGGTGGCACTGCGCTGTGCAGCTGGGGTGCTGCAGACAACAAAGGAAGACCGGTTCCAGGAGCTGGCAGATATCATCTTTCCCATGATAAAGAAGGTGACTGTTCAGCTTTTTGAGTTTTCCTTCTTTCAAAGCAAAACACCCAAGTGGTGACTGGCTGGCTGATGCTGGACACATGCCAGGCTTCTCCCCAGAAGGCTGCTGATGTGAGAAATACTCCACACTCAGCCAGATCCTTGGTGGGGCTGAATATACCAGACTGCTGGTAAGCCCTGAGGGGGTTGTACCCATGCTGCCCAAATTCCGAATTAACCCAACTGTTCTCTAGACAGAGTCCTTCCTTTGCTGTCCAGCACTGCCCTGATACAGCATTAAAAGTTAATTCCTGGCTGCTCTGCAGGCAGCAAGACACTCCTGGGAAGCTGTGTAGGGCACTTCTGTTTAGTACCTGCAATGCTTCGCAGTTCTGCAAGTGGGACTCATATAGCACAGGCAGACGTTTGGATGCAAGGCCACGGAGCCTGCTGTGCACTTCTGCAGGCTGCCGAGAGTGCCAGAGCTACCGGTGGCCAGGAGGGCTTGTGCTCCATCTGTGTGGAGGCACTGGCTGGGTACAAGGACCAGTGTGCACAGACTGCAGGGGAGGACTGAATTGCACTGAAGTGTGTGGCTAGCCTGCCCTCATCCTCCTGTCCATCATACCTTTCCCCCATGGCCTCCGCAGAACTCTCTTGAGAGCATAGGCACAGGTTTCCCAAAGCATGATGAAGACGACGAGGACATGAGGGAGAAAGAAGTACAGATGGAGTCCCTGATCTGTGCCTTCGAGAGCTTGGGCAAAGCCTGGCCAAGGAGCCCGGAGACACAGCGTAAGTCAGCTAATGGTGCGCAGAGCAAACTTTCTCGGCTCGAACTCTTTCCTCTTAAAATGAAAAGGGGGAGGAGGGAGGGACCTGGTGATCATGTGGGGAGTGAGGAGGCTTTTGAGGAGCTGCAGGAAGGATCTCACTGCGGTTTGCAAGATCTTCAGTGAGAAAGCTGCGCCAATGGCTTTCCCACAGAGTAGCCCATCGTTGGGGAAATTCCTTTGCTGTTATCTTAAATTCAGTTCACCAAACTCTTCTGAGTTTATGGAGACATGCAGGTTGCCTGAGGTATCTTGCCTAATCAAAAGCAGCCTGGTTCTGCTGCTTACATTTACGTTTGCATCAAAGCTGGTACAAGGTGGAGGAACTGGATAGATCTGAAAAAAAAACTCCAAACAGGTTACTTTTATTAGCATGCCAGAATGTGTAATGCAGCGTTTTATCTTCCAGTGTTTGATAATGAGACTGTTGATGTGGGGAAGATTTTCAGGATGTTGACTTGGTCGTATGGAGTGACTAGCTTGGTGTCATGTGGAGAGGAGCGCAAGGAACACCTGTGAGACAGAGCAGGAAGCATTTTCTTCTGCTTTTCCCTGTGGTAACACAGTAACATCCTTTTTTTTTTTTTTCTGTAGGTTGCTATCGCCAAGAGTTTTGCAAGTTAATGTGTGACCGTCTGAAACTCAGCACGTGGAAAGTGCAGCTTGGAGTGCTACAAGCCATGAATGCCTACTTTCAAGGGTAATTCTCCTTTCTGCAATCCGCTTCGATGGTGTTTCTTGTCTTTGTTGCTTCAGACTGTTTAATGAAGTTGAGGATGACACTGGATTCTCGAGGAAGTCAAGCAGACTTCTGTCGCAGTGATGCAGGGTGTCTGACAGTGGTTTTGCCTTTGACAGGCTAATGCTGTTTGATGAAGAACACTCAGACCCTGCGGCTTTGACAGAAATACTGTTGGAAACCTGTTCATCTATCACCCATTCTTTAGGTAAATGAACTTTTCCTGGTTTGTGGTTGATGATGAATTGCTTGTTAATACATTCCTCCTCTGAGGGTTGGTGGGTAGAGGAAGTGCAGAATAAGTATAAGCTGTCAGAGGTGACGTTTTGCCGTTCCTTGTATTGCGCTGTGGTAATGCTGATTGTGCAGTAGCTGTTCGAGATCGTACCATGCAGGGTGCTGTGCACAGAGAAGTAGATTACTCTGGTAAGCAAGAGCTTTGAAAAGGGAGGGAGAGGCAGACAGCAGTCTCCTGTGCATGCAGCCTCTCAGGAGTGCACATTGGAAATGTAGTAATTTTCTCCATGCAGAAGATGGACCTATTCCTATTACTTATTTAATGAAAATCAAGGGTTTTTTCTCCACAGTTCAGACTTCTTGGATATGTATGCATTGGAGAGACCCAGAATTTTCTGAGACAGCTAGTGCATGAAGCTACAAGGCTTAGACACAGGTTGTGCTCTCCCTGAGCAGAGTGTCCCTGGGGATATAAGTGCTACCTATGTGATGTTGACAGTCGTGGGGCTGCTTATTACTTTGGTCATGTTCCTGCTTGTCCTGTGACTGTTAACAGTGCCCCAAGTCTCCTCACACCTACATGTGGCTCTTTTTTCTGGTATGCCTAAAGGCAGCACCTACTTTAGAGCTAGCTACCAACCCAGACACCCCGTTGGGGAGAGTTTCTTGTAACTATCAATCCTCCTGGAATGAGACTTTAACAAGATTTTAGCTCAGGAGAGCACGTAACATTTTGTGACAAGCTTGTGCTTGATGGCCTAGCATTTATGTTCCCTGACTTAGTGCTACTTGTTAAAATTTGGAGGGTTTATAGATTTTACAGCTCACCGGAAGAACAGTCCGTTACGCACAGAAGTTGTCTGTGATCACATTTCAGCTTTGCCAACGCTGTTCCCTTTCAACATATGTAAGGAATAGTAGTGCTGTGGTAATAGCAGAGGTGATGCACAAGGCTTAGTCAGCTTTTCAACCTCTAGTTGGTCACTTTCTGCTGTTCAGATGTGTCTAATTGGGCAGCACTGCAGACTGACAGCACACATGAGCTCAGTGAGCTGTGCTAACAACAGTGATCTGTGACCACGGTGGTGACTGCTCTGTGTACAACTGTTAAGTGTGCCTTTGATTCTCAATGTCGTTGTGGGGTTTTTTTTGTTTGTTTTTTAAATCCCTTAGAAAACAAAAGCTACACGTCCATAAGAACTGAAGCTTTGTCTGTGATACAACTGCTGCTCACCAAACTGCAAGGTGAGACTTTTTGCTTGCCACCTGGGAGAGCTGCTGTTAGGTAGAGAAGGCACCTGACTGTGTGGCCTGGAACTCTGGAGAGAAGGCATTACCTTCTGCTTTGCAGCACTGGGTGATTTTGGGGTGGTTGGGACTTGGAGTTCTGTACTTGGTGACCTGGGAAACTTGGAGAGGGCTTGAAGTAACTGGCCAAAATCAAGGTCTAAAGTAATATTAGATTCTCTTTGGGCGGGGAAAATGTCCAGTGAGGAGGGTCCCAGGGAGAGCACACAGGACTGAGTGTGTAGTCAGATTCTGTGTGAATGTGCAAGCTCCATAGAGGGGAGAGCTCCTGTTTGTGCAAGTTTAGTTCCTCATTGTTAATTTAGGATTTGAGCCTTGCAGAATTTGTTTCAGAGAATGAGTCTGCTTAGATCTCAAGGTCATACTGTCACAAAAATCTGGACAGAAACTCTCTAACACAGTTAGCAGCATTAGAAAGCGGCATTGCTTTATTGTGGTGCCGGGTGCACGGGGGATATCTTCTCCTGGCCCGCACACTGGACCCCTGGAGAGAAACTTAGTGATACACCACAATCATGCATATTCATAACATGTTTGCATATTCATAACGTGTTTACATATTCACTGTTATTCTCTTAAACGATTGGTAAATTTTCTCTTGCTTTACGTGTAAATTACTTCGCATGCTCAGTTCTCTTCCTCCGCCCCTTTCTTTTGGAGGTATGTGCAAACCACCTACTAAACCCTTCAATAAATTCTTACACAAAAATTCTAACCCCTTCATTGTTGGATAACACTACGTGTCTGCAGTTGTCCTGTAGCAAATGTTTCCTTTGGATTTCTGTTTCGCGCTTCATGTTTCCTTTGTTCTAGCAAAATCTTCTTACATTATGTGAAGCAGCTGTGAATCGGGAAGCATTTGGTTGGTTCTTCAGGCCCTGTTTTCAGATGTTGCAGGCTTAGACAATCAAGCCTAGTCTGAATGGGCTCACCTCCCTGTGCGGGAGGCAGCACACACGCCTGAGCCTCCAGCTGAATGTGCCTCCTAAGCAGCCCTCTCCTGGAAGAGCAGTACGGACTGCGAGTGAAGTGTTGGACAGGTCGCTCTTTCAGCCTGTCCGGGCATGGAGATGGCCAGTTGTTTTTTCCTGGTATTCACGTCCAGTGTCTGTCTGTCTTTATCTACACAGAAGCTCAGCAGTGGGAAAGCCTGACACCAGAAAGCAGAGAGCGCCTCATTCATTCGTTGTCTACGATGGCATCAGATAGCAGACCCGAGCTACAAGAGAAGGCGTTTATATTGAAGAAAACACTTGAAAATCTTGACTAAGTTGTAAAACACAAACTATAAAGTGCCATGTAAAACAAAAACAAAAAAGTGCAGTGGTCTGAAAACCAAGTGGGAAAATGAAGATTACTCTGTAGCATGCATCATTCCTGGCCAAAATAAAAAAATGCCTTAAGTTCTTTTTCCCCGTTAATATTATTTTTACTCTTTTAAGATGATGGTTAGTTGTTTTATCAGAAAATACCTCTTAACAATCTGCCCTAGAATGTTTATAAGTATGCGACATAAAAAATGTTGAGGGCAAGATGCTTTTTTTTTTTTTTTTTTTTTTTTTTAAATCAGCAAAAGAATGTTACTGAGATCCCCTTTGTCCTTCAAAGGAATTGTTGAAAAACCACCAGCACAGGAAGTGAAAAGCATATTTGATTTTCACTTATGTCGTGTGTGGAGATCTGTTACCTGGAGTCTAAACAGTAAAACTCCGTGACTCTGCAGTAGAGCTAGTGTTTGTTATCGATAAAGAACGAAACGCTTCCCTTGATGAAGCCCCCTGTTAAACTCTTGTGGCTTTCCCGGGGGGGGGTCCCCCACCTCTGCTTCTCCTGCTTGCTCCTCCCTTGCAGCCTGTGTCTGTGAGTTATGAAAGGCAGAGTACTGTTAACTTCACTCCTTCCTCCTCCTCGGACCTCAACATGGATTGGCCGAGACTATGCCTTTCCCAGCTAGCAACCTCGGCCTCCCAAACTTTAAATGAGAACTTTTTTCCTCAAAGGATGCACAAGAGAGCACTTTACTGAGCTGTGTGGGACAAAGTTGGGCCTAGTTGGTGCCCAGGTGGAACACTGCTCTTCTCAAAATTGTTTTGCATGGACACTCCTCAGCTGCAGGCAAAAAAAAAAAAAGGAAAACAATCTTTTCTAGATAGGTTTTTGAAGAGTGTTCGAAGTTTGCAATGACACGTTTTTTTAATAGTGGTAATGTTTTATTCCCTTCCTGTTCGTAACCCTGTTCTTGCTTTGGAAACCTGTAATGATTTAGACTTGTCAATATTTGTAAGAAACTGAATCACCTGTCATTTCTCAGCAGCCCAAGTCATGCTGGTTTCTAGCAAATAAAATACTTTTTAATTTGCACTTAAGAAGAAAGATTATATCTGCATTAACGTGGAGTAAAATTGCTATATGGTGATGTGGCCATGCTGCCTGTCTCCTGTTTTTTTGCCCTCCTCAGATAAAAGACAAACCTGACCACTATAGCAACAGACTTTTAATAGTGTAAAGTTAGCACTGCACCCTAATCTGACCAGAATGTGTACAGCTTTTTGGGGATAAATGCTTTGCTGATGGTGAAATGAAATCGTTAGTGTGGGCAATACCATGTCCATGGCTTTCAGCGCAGGAAGGCTTTTCTTTTCTTACAGTCTGCAGCTCCTTTCAGATTTGATCCGCTGGGGAGAGGATTGCTCAGATAACGCCGCGTTTCCTCCATGCCCATTTATTCAGAATCAGGTATGCAGTACCTACTTTTCCCTCAGGTGCCATTTCCCATTCAGTGTTTTCTGGTACTGTAACAATCTCGTTGTCTGACTTGCCCTCCGTGGGGAGGGAGGAATGTAATTTGTGCACGCCTGGTAAGAAGACGTCAGCAAGAAATGGGCAGAGCTGTCCCACTGTGGCTCTCGTGTAGCAGAAACCTCAGCGAGCACTATTGCATTGTACACTAGAACTGGTCAGTGGGCAACTCCTTGGTGCTGGGAGCTGGTGCTATAACGTTTTGATTTACACCTTGTTGCAGGGAGCTGCTCTTTGTTTACGTGTAGTTTGAACTATTGAGCACAGTGTACATTTTAAAATTTTACTGGGCAAATCACTTTGCGGTATCTTTAAAAACTTGCTTACCGTGACATGTAGTGTCATGAGTGCATTTTTTTTTTGGTTGGTTGTTTTTTTTTTGTATTAGGTGAGTATTACCCGTGATGCTTTGCTGTAGCAGTTCTTTGTCTGACTTGGGTTTTTTTCCGTATTGGTGAGTGACAGTAACAGAAAAGCAAGAGCCTCCATGTCTCTGGTGATTTGAGTCTTCACTGCGGACTGGAGTATTCAGAGGCAATGCCTAGTATGGTCAAATGGCCATAAGTAGAATAACTGTAATCATTGTGAATAGCAACCTGAATTTCTCTATTGGGGATTTACACTAGAGGGAA